CCTTTACTGTCTCTCTGGCCCTCAAAGTTTTTGTTTATTTATTATCTCGAATCACTCTAAGTTACACAGTTACAAAGTTATTCATGATTGGATTTTGGTCATACAGTGTTCCAACAGCCTTCCCTTCACCAGTGAACATTTCTCACCACCCATGTCTTCAGGTTCCCTCCCGCTCGCCTCCCCCCCCCAACCCCCTTCCCCCATCCCCGTAATCTGTCTGTATGACAGACACAGACACTGTTCTTCTCTTTTCTTTTGTGCATTGTGGTTTGTAATACAGGTACTGAAATGTTATTATATGCATTTCTCCTTTCAGTATTTTACCTCCTTTCAGTACTTCTCATCCAGAGTAATCATTTCCAGCTGTCATTGTTATAGTGGTCCCTTCTCTGTCCTCACTGCCCACCCCTCTCCACCACCACTTGTGGCAAGCTTCCAACCATGGACCAGTCCTCCTGGCCCTTGTTTCTACTGTCCTCGGGTATTAGTTTCGTAGTGTGTGTGTGTGTGTGTGTGTGTGTGTGTGTTTATATCCTGAAAATGATTGCAGTCATTCTATGTCTGTCTCTCTCCCTCTGACTCATTTCACTCAGGATGATATTCTCCATGTCTGTCCATGAGTAAGCAAATTTCATGACTTCATTTTTTTTTTGGCGGCTGTGTACTATTCCATTGTTTAGATGTATCGTTGTTTCTCAGAGTTTATTTTTTATTTATTTAGCTTTTTGGGTCACACCCGGCAATGCACAGGGGTTATTCCTGGCTCTGCACTCAGGAATTACTCTTGGCGGTGCTCAGGGGACCATATGGGATGCTGGGAATTGAACTCAGGTCGGCCACGTGCAAGGCAAACGCCCTACCCACTGTGCTATTGCTCCAGCCCCTCAGAGTTTATTTTTAAATATGTCACCAACTTTGCGCTTTATTTTACTTTTTTATATTCTTTTTTTAAATTTTATTTTATTTATTGAATCACCGTGAGAAAAGTTACAAAGCTTCCAAGTTAAAATCTTGGTCATACAATGATCAACCACCCATCCCTTCACCAGTGCATATTTTCCCCCACCAAGAACCCCAATATACCCCCCAATCCCACCCCTCCCAATGCCTGTGAGGCAGAGGATTTCCACTTAACTGCTTACTTTGATTACATTCATTAATTCGACAAAAGATGCACCATTATTATTTGGGATTTTCCCCCCAAATTCAGACCTGCTGAAAAGGCACCGTGAAATAATTTGCTTTGGTGGCTGGAGTGATAGCACAGCAGGTAGGGCGTTTGCCTTGCACACGGCCGACCCAGGCTCAATTCCCAGCATCCCGTGTGATCCTCTAAGCACCGCCAGAAGTAATTCCTGAATGCAGAGCCAGGAATAACCCCTGTACATTGCCAGGTGTGACCCAAAAAGCAAAAAAGAAAAAAAAAAAGAAAGAATTTGTTTTCTATTGCTAGTTATGAAGACCATATGATTTTGTGTGACTGCAGTAGCAGCTGTGCGATTTTGGTTTTCTGATATTTTACTAAGTGTGGAGGGATTTCTGCCAAAAGCTACATAGTTCCGAGATTGGTTTGTGTGCCTCTGGTCCATGGCTGTGCCAGAGAGCTGAACGTGGGGGGGAGGGGGAGCAGGGGCAACTCATGGTCTCAGCAGGGCAGGAAGGACATGCTGGTTCCGTCCCCCATCCCATGAGCCCACAGTTGCTCTGTCACCACTGGCTCATACCTGGCTGCCCAATAAGCTCTGAGGCCAGGTTCACTGTGCCTCTGGAAGGCGGAAGAGACAAACACCCTTTCCCTCCCAGGGGGCACAGCGCCATAGCTTAATGCAAAGTTCATTCACATTTCTGCTGAAAGCTGCTGGGTTCTGAATTAGGTCTGTGTGCCTCTGAACCCATGGCCATGCCAGAAATCCGCTCATGGAGGGCAACTCGTGGTCTCAGTGGGGCAGAAAGGACATGAACTTTGTGCTTTAGAGAAGACTGAAAGCGCAAATAAAAATTTGCTAGTTAGCTAGAAAATAGATTTTCAATGAATTTTCATTTAATGATGGTATCTCTCATAAGATTAAGGTGATTGTTTTGGTCTGTTCCAAAATATGTGCTTTTTTTACATAGCTTATATAAATTTCAGGTATAAAGTGAGTGCTTCCTGTGTGCCAGGGACTGTTCTAAGTGCTTTATATGTTTTTAGTTCTCATAAGAACCTGTGTTACTTTTTTTTTTAATTTTTATTAGTGAGACATCATGAGGTACAGTTACAGACTTACAATTTTTTGTGCTTGGGTTTCAGTTATACAATGATCAAGTACCCATCCCACCAGTGCTCATTCTCCACCACCACTAATCCCAGTATCCCTTCCACCTCCCACCCCCCCATCCCACCCTGCCTCTGTGGCAGGGCATTCCCTTTTGTTCTCTCTCTCTTACTGGGTGTTGTGGTTTGCAAAAGAGGCAATGGATGACAATCATGTTTGGTCTATAGTCTACTTTCAGCAAGCTTCTCCCATCCTGGCAGAATCCTCCCAACACCCTTTATTTGGTGTTCCCTTCTCTATCTGAGCTCCCTTTTCCCCTAGCATGTGTGGTTCGCCCCCAAGCTATGGAGTAAAATTCCTGGTACTAATCTCGGCCATTCTTGGGTGTTGGTCTCCTATTTTGTTTCTTTATGTTCCCCAGATGAATGCAGTCTTTCTATGTCTATCCCTTTCTTTCTGAGTCATTTTGCTTAACATGATACTTTTCATGTAGTACCACTTGTATGTAAATTTCATGACTTCATCTTTTCTAACAGCTACATAGTACTCCATTGTGTAAATGTACGAAAGTTTCTTTAACCAGTCATCTAGAACCTGTGTTACTTTTATTCTTAGTTTTAGATCAGACTCCTGAATCACAGAAGGCTAATAAATTTCTATAAGCTATCCAGTTAATAAGAAGAGGAGCTGGGTGTTGAACCTACAACCTGGTTCCAGTTCGTCTCTTAACCATCTGTCAATGCTTTTCTCAGTCATACTTTCTCTCACGTGTCCTATGTTTTATATATGGAATATAGTTTGTCTTGAGTAACATTTTTTGAATTTTAAAGGTATTTTTGTTCTGTTTAGAAACAAAATAATTTTATTTAGGAAGTATGTTATGTGAGAAAGAGAGAGAAAGAGAGTGAGAGCGCGCGCGAGCCTGCAAGTAACACATTCCAAATCACTATGTGCAGGCAATTCCAGAATAGAGTTTTAAAATTCTTTTTTGGGATGAGGGGAGGTTAACCTGGCTATGCTCAGGGCTTACTCCTGGTTCCACATTCAGGGATCACTCCTGTGAGTTCTCAGGAGACCAAATATGGTGCTAGGGATTGAACCCAGGTCAGCCACATGCAAGGCAAGGGCCTTATCTGCTATACCATCTCTCTACCCCTTAAATTTCTTAACTATAATGGGTATACAGTAGATAAAACTCATTTTTTTAATGAATCCTTGAATGTGATGATATAAGATGATGGTTGCAAGAAGGACAGTACAAGATGTAGGACAGTTGCCTTACATGTGACTGATAACTATCATGGCTTAAAACACCACACATGCTCCCCTGATCATTGTCAGGTGTGGCCCAAACCAGTCACTCCCAAATTATAATGAAAGCAGTACAATCACTTTTAATTTCTTGCCTTCAAGTAATAGTTATTTTCGCTGTACGTTTTCTAAGGATCTATCTATAGCTGGATTGACTATTTTGAAGCAAACTATTCTAATACTACAAAAATTTGGAAAAAAAATTGCTTGAGAAATCTATTTATATTCTTAAATTCATTTCTGCTTATTGGTACTCACTCAAAAAATCTGTGTGTTTTATTTAGGATTTTTCCTTTTTTGGGTTTCTCTGTAGAACTCTGTTGATTTTTCTTTTTAATGCTAAATGGAATTTATAGCAGATAATTGAATTCTTCATAGAAGAAGATTTAAGGAATTTGGATTTCCTGGCTATAGTAGTGAAGTTTGGTATTGAATTTGACCTCTAAAACTTTTTTTTCCCCTTTATTTTATTTTATTTTTTTTTACAGTTGTAGATTTACAATTTTTTGTGCTTTGGTTTCAATTATACAATGATCAGATACCCATCCCTCCGCCAGTGCCCATTTTCCACCATCATGGATAATATCCCTCCCACCCCCATCCCCCCATCCCCCTGTCTCTGTGGCAGGGCAATCCCCTGTGTTCTCTCTCTCCTTTTGTGTGTTGTGGTCTGCAAAAGAGGAATTGAGTGGCAAACATGTTCAGTCCATAGTCTACTTTCGACATGCATCTCCCCTCCTGGGAGGATCCTCCAAACATCTTTTATTTGGTGCTCCCTTCTCTATCTGAACTGCCCTTTCCTCTAGGATACCCGGCTGGCCTCTAAGTTATGGAGTAATCCTCCTGGTGCTGATCTCAGCTATTCTTGGGTATTAATCTCATACTTTGTTACTTTATATCCCCCAGATGAATGCAATCTTTCTATGTCTATCCCTCTCTTTCTGACTCATTTCGCTTAGCATGATACTTTCCATATTGTACCACTTGTATGTAAATTTCATGACTTCATCTTTTCTAACAGCTACATAGTACTCCATTGTGTAGATGTACCAAAGTTTCTTTAACCAGTCATCTGTTCGTGGGCATTCAGGTTTCTTCCAGTTTCTGGCTATTGTAAAGAGTGCTGCAATGAACAAACAAGTGCAGATGTCACTTCGACTATACATTTTTGCCTCTCTGGGATATATTCCCAGGAGTGGTATTGCTGGGTCAAATGGGAGCTCAATTTCTAATTTTTTGAGAATCGTCGATACTGTTTTCCAGAAGGGCTGAACCAGTGGACATTCCCACCAACAGTGAAGGAGGGTCCCTTTCTCGCCACATCCACGCCAGCATCGGTTGCTTTTGTTCTTTTGAATGTGGGCCAGTCTCTGGACCTCTAAAACTTTTGAGATAGAAATTATTTTAAAATTTGCTTTTCTTTATGTCTTTTAGAATTCTCCACTTTACCAATACTTACAGGATCTGGGACACACAGATTTTGAAATATGCTCTTCTCTGTCACCAAAACCAGAAAAATGCACAGCAACAGAGGAACAACAAAAGTCTCCTTCAAGAACTCAGCCAAAAGTAAGAAAATATGCTCATTTTCTACAGCTTAGTCTTTGTTTTTACTTTATTGCATATTTAAACTCATTTTGCTTATTATTCTTGCAAGCAATACACAAATTTTTTAAAAAAAAGCCTTTTAAGCAAACCCACACACTTTTCTTCTTCAGTAGTACAGAACTCACTGTTTAGGTAAAACACAAAATGGTATTGTTTTTGAACTATTTCATAATAATTTTATATAAGGTTAAAATAATGTAATGAAAATATATGCGTGTATATATATACACACATGTATATATATGTATATAAATTCATTTAAATATTGAAAATTTATGTAGAGATCTAGAAAAATATGTGAAAAAAACTTTTAACAAAAGTTTACCTATTAGGACACTTCCATTATAGGAACTGAAATTTTTTTCTTTATTTTTTTAACTTTTTTTTCTTTTTGGGTCACACCCGGCGATGCACAGGGGTTACTCTTGGCTCTTCACTCAGGAATTACTCCTGGCAGTGCTCAGGGGACCATATCGGATGCTGGGATTCGAACCCGGGTGGGCCTTGTGCAAGGCAAATGCCCTACCTGCTGTGCTATCACTCCAGCCCCAAATTTTTTCTTTTAATATATATTTAAAAGGCAGCAGAGGACTGGGGAGATAGTACAGTAGAGAGGGCACTAGCCTTATATAAATCCATCCCAGGTTTGATCCCCAGCACACCATAGGCCATATGGTACTCAAAAGCCCCACTAGGAGTGATCCCTGAGTAGAGCCAGGAGTAAGCCCTGAGCACTGCCAAACAAAACAACACAGCAATAGCAAAAAGACACCACAAATTATAAAACAGAAAATTGATAATTATAAGCAGTTTTGGAGATTCATGATGATATGCACATATATCTGCTCAATTTCTGATGTACTTTATATCTGTATCATTAATACTTTCATACAGCTAATATTTTATAGCTGCTGGTACAGCATTTACAGCTAAGGTACTAAAGATACACTTATAAAATGCATTTACCAGATTCATTTATCTTCTATTAAAGATGTAAAATGCATTTTTCTATAAATTTTACAAATTGCATTCACCAGATTCATTTATCTTCTATTAGCCATAGTGACTAAAATAAGAAACTATTCTAATACAGAAGGAATTCTAAAGGAATTCAAAAGAAAAAAAACAAGAGAAATAAACATAAGAAACAAAATGGGAAAAGAAATAAAAAGGAATACAAAATTAACAAGAAAAAAAGCAGATCTATTACCTCATTCCTTGAGTATTCTGGTTTATTTATTTAATTATTAATTTTTTTGCTTTTTGGATCACACCGGCAATGCTCAGGGTTTGTTTCTGGCTCTGCACTCAGAAATTACTCCTGGAAGTACTGGGGGATGGGATGCCATCCTGGAAGTACTATGGGGTGGCAGAGATCAAACCCAGGTCAGCCACATGCAAGGCAAGCACCCTCCCCACTGTACTATCTCTCCAATCCAAGTATTCTGATTTAATCAGTATTTCATTACTAGACTCAGATGCTTTGGGGAAGAGGCATTTGAAGTTTTCACATAGACATTTACTCTGGTGAGAGGATAAGAGTCTTTTCTCTTGTTCCTTTGTAGAAAACCCCCAAAATGTGAGGCAACCGAGCAGGGTCCATTTGCAATCAGCAAAGTAAACTTTCATGAGAGCCAGCAGGTCATTCCCCGCGGTGCTCCTAACACAGGGATACTTGACCTGGAAGTGCAGGGGCCTGACAGGTGCTCTGGTCTGTGGTGTTCAGGCGTAGTGGCACTGGGAACACCACATAAATGTTTCTCAACTAGCACCTAAAAAGTGGGAATCAAGGAAATGAAAATCCATATATACCAGTTTTGTCCCTGCATTTAAATGCTTTCATCTTCCTGTTCTTTTCAAATATGAGTATAACTGGGAAACCTGGTTTTGAAAACCTAAAGATACATCTAATGGCTCACTTATAGATTAAGACTTAGATTTAAAATTCCTGGGCATCTTGGGACAGGGACAGAGATCGCAGGGATCATTTTCACTTATGATGGCTAATTTTCATTATAAAAATGGTATGATTTATAGATAAGTAAAAGTTTAAAATTGGGTCTCAAATTGAAAAACAATTAAAAACACCTAGCCAGAGAATGCTTTATCAAATTGGTATTTTATAAAAGTTCCTTTAGTCATTATATAAACGCATTTCAGATCAATAATTTCTGTCTTTCCAAAATGAAGTTATTCTAAAATTGAGGCAGCTCAATTTTAGAAAGATGTCTTGGATTTTTTTAAAGTTTCTTCTTGGGAAATAAATTGCTTCCAATTTCTGGCCAAGTTGTGAAGTACGAACTGTTTTCTTTTGGGTCCAGGGACCCCTCCTGGACAATTCTCTGCCAACTGGCAGAGAGTTAAATGCAAGGGCCTGAGGATGTGGGGCTGCTTGGACCTGAGGTACCTTTGATTACCCCAGTACTTGCTTGGGTGCCTCCAGAGCTGCACCTGGTGACACTCAGGAGGCCATGTTGCCCTGGGGATTGACCTAGGATTGGTAGATTTAAGTCATATGCCTTAATCCCTTTGCTACCTCTCTGGCCCAAAGTACTAGTTATTTTCTTTGAAAAATAATTTTTTTATGAGTTCATGATGTCACTGGTATTAATTTACTTTTCTTAACTTTTATTTTACTTGGGGGGATCTCCCAAGCAGTGCCCAGGGGCCTCACTGAGTCCCGGCACCTCGCCAGCAATTCTCAGTCAGCAAGGCTCTTGGTTTGGCACAAGGGCCCAAGGATGAGGTGCTGCTCGGGATACCCAGGCCACCCCCGCAGTGCTGGGGCCTCCAGAGCTATATACTCTGTGGTGCCTGGGGATTAACTTTTTTCTTTTTAATGTGATTATTACTTACTCCCTTGTTTGTACTTGTATAAATATCATGAATATTTGTTCTCTGTATATTTTTCTGATTGGCTTTCCTGTGATTATTCTTTCAGCAAGGTTTGGGAGCCACACCCAGTGGTGCTCAGGGCTTCCTCCTGCTGGCTCAGGGGACCATAATGGGGTTCTAGAGATCGAATCCGGGGTGAACCACGTGCAAGGCAAATGCCTGTCCTGCTGTGCTCTCTCCAGCCCCTCCTGTGATTCTGAAATGTTCCTTCCATGAGGGTATGGCATCAGACCACCCTCTTCTCTGCTGGTTTTCTCTGAGCAATATCATCTACTTTTTTGTCCACATCAGTCACTTATGTCCATTCTCAGTCTTTGCTGAATTCCAGGTAACTTTATACTATTTCTCACATACTAAGTTCTGGAAAACAGCAGTTATGTGTATTCGTTTTTATTCCCATGACCCTTTTTCCAATACCTGGAATAGCAAATGAGCTGCTAAGATAAACTGAATTTGGGGTTTATAATAAGACTTACTTCAATAAGTTGTTTTCTAAAGTGGATTTAAGTACTACTATTTTTCACCATAGTGTTATAGGATGAAATATTTTAATACTTGAGAATTTGGAGCACTTTGTGGTATTCCTTTTGAATCTGTATCATCAGGTTTACATTGATAATAATTAGTGTATATAGTGAGTACCTACCTTCAGGATAATGTCTTAGTGCTCTGGAAGCATCATTTCCACATGAGGCTCTGGATTTGGTTCCTGGCACTACAAAAGAATGATTTTTAAAAAATGATGGTCTTGGTTGGTGCTCAGGGCTTACTCTTGGCTCTGTATTCAAGGATCACTTTTAGTGGTACTGGAGACTGTATGTGGAGTAGAGAATAAAACCATGGTCTGATACTTTGCAAGACACTTAACCTCTGTGCTATCTCTCTAACCCCAGAAAATTTTTTAAAAAACTGAAAAACATTAAGTTTCCAGGTCACATTCCAAACTTTAGAGTCCCAAGTATGTGTGTGTACTATAAAACATATGACAAGTATGATTTTTTCCCTCCCTTTATTTGACAAAAATTCTGGTTAATTAGTACTAAGTTAATTGAAATTCTGCTTTGGGAATGTGGTTTAATAATCCATGTTAATGTTATTCTATCCTTCAGCGAGGCATCCTGTTAAAAGTGGCTGAAACCATCAAAAGCTGGATTTTTTCTCAGTCCAGTAAGAAAGATGACTTACTTCACAAGTTGGTAAGTGTTCTTTTTTTTTGGTAATTTTTTAGGGTTCCAGTTTATTAGTAAGAAAAACAATGAATCACAGATTGTTTGCTAATGATTTGGTCAGTGATGAATTTTGGTTTGAAATTCTGCAGTAACTGGGGACAGCTGAATTTGGTCCCTGTACTATTCGTAGTTTTTCAAAGATATTATTAGCTACTTTGAGAAGAATATTTTGGTAGTTAATAACAACTTAATTAATTACATCACTATTGTCCTATGCCATCTTCCTCCCTGAACAGTACTCTTCTCTGCAGTAAGAGTATATTTATTAGTGACTGCCTCCGTTCTCAGTTCATTGACAGTATCTCGGGTTTTTCCAATGTCCATGGGCCACTGTCTCTTCCCTTTCTTTGTTTCTTCAAATGAGCCAGATCATCTGATATTTGCCTGCCTTCTTAGGACTCATTTTGCTTGGCATCATTTGGAGCAAAATACCTGATTTCATCTTTCCTGGTGCGCATTTCTTTTTTTGTTTGTTTGTTTGTTTGCTTTTTGGGTCACACCCGGCGATGCTCAGGGGTTACTCCTGGCTTTGCACTCAGGAATCACTTCTGGCAGTGCTCGGGGGACCATATGGGATTCTGGGAATCGAACAGGTCAGCCACGTGCAAGGCAAACGCCCTACCTGCTGTGCTATTGCTCCAGCCCCCTGGTGCGCATAATTCTAATCATTACTTTGAACTGTTCATCAAGTAATTGGCCTTGGCCTTGTTTCCTTAAGGTGCTTTCCTGCTGTTTTGACTTGCTCTTCTCTTTGGGTTCTATTCTGCCTCCCCCCCCCCCCCAGTTGTGGTGTCATGAGGTTTGGTGACAGTCACAGTGGGCTTTGGGAAGGCTACTAAAATGGTACCTGCCAGCACTGGTCTTAGGAGAGTGCTAAGATGATGTCTGCTACTGTATCTAACCTAGGGATTGTCTTGAGGCCTCCAGCCTCTCAGCCAGCTGCCATCAGCATAGTAGAATGGCTTCCATGACCTATGATTCTGGTACTGTTCAGTCATGTGTGCTGGGTCTCTAGGTAAGCGAGCCTACAAAGAAGCTCTTTAAGGGCAATTTCTCTATTGCTGCCTGTTCTATGATTCCTCAGAGTATATCCCACACTGATCCTCAGTGCTGCTACTCCAGGAAGTGATCCCTGTGGATCAGGGGTTCAGTTTTCCTTGCAACTTCCCAGGAAAAAGTTCCACACCTTCAGCTCCCCACTTGCCTGAAGGGCTGGTCTAAGGAGGGGTTTCCCCACTGGGGAAAATGTGTGTCTGCCTTCTCCTCTATCAGTCTTGGTGCTTTCCCTGTATCCTTTGCTGTGGAAGCATTTATCTGATTTTTCAGGCTTTCTTTTGTATAAATTATTAATATAATTATGGATTTGCTGTGTCCATGGAGGGCCAAGTCAGCTAGGTTCTTCCTCACAGCCATCTTGAACTAGAACACTGTGGTGGAATTTTTCCTGTTTTAGTCTACTTTGGAATCTTTTCAATAAACTGCCCTCGCACTTCTTTGTCAGGGTCTTTCTCAGACACTTCAACGCATGTGATGTCTTTTCCCCTGTAACCAAATCATAATTATCTGATAATGTTCTCTAAGTGTTTTTGTTATACTGCATATATTTCATTTCACATATATTAATAACAGTAACAGCCAACACTGACATATTTGCCAGACTCTCCTAGTATTTTTCAAATGTTGACTTCTTTAATTCTTATAGTAGACATATGGACTAGCTGCTCTGATTAATCTAATTTTTCATATTAAAAAATGGAACAGAAAGGCTATTAACTGGGTAAGTTATGGGACCAGTATATATACCTAACTATTAAGTATTGGCACTCAAACTTGTTGAGTGAACCAAAATTCACATAGTTTATTTTCTCACAGTGTATCTATCTGTAGCACTGTAGTACTGTCTTCCCGTTTTCCTCGATTTGCTCGAGCGGACACCAGTAACATCTCCATTGTGAGACTTGTTGTTACTGTTTTTGGCATATCGAATATGCCACAGGGAGCTTGCCAGGCTCGGCCATGCGGGCGGGGGTACTCTCGGTAGCTTTCCAGGCTCTAGGGGAGGGACGGAGGAATCGAACCCAGGTCAGCTGCGTGCAAAGCAAATGCCCCTACCTGCTGTGCTATTGCTCCACCCCCTATCTGGAATAAATTTATTACTAACATTCAAAGTTCTTCATTTGTTTGAGACTTGAGCCTGAATGAATCTAAATAGAAGTGTGGTGATATGTTGCTTAGTATAACCAGTATCTTTTCCCAATAGTTTGATTCCTTATTTTCTGTAGTTCTTGATCTTATAATTAAAGAATGTCATATAATTTATACCTTAGAGAAAGAAAGTTCTTTTTTTGATGTGTTTTTATTGAGGTATTGTAATTTATTCATAGCACCCAACCTTACAGTCAGCCATAGTCAAATTCCATTTGTAGAGTTTTTCTGACTTCAACCCCATCACCACTATCAGAGAGATCACTCCCGCCTGGGCTCTGGGGCCAGATGGGGTGCCAAGGACCAAACCTGGATTAACTGCATGGCAAGACAAACACCACAACCACTGTCCTATCACTCAGGCTCCTGAAAAGAAAGCTCTTAATTAATTTTGGTTTGGAGATCACAACAGACAGGGCTCACAGGCTCTTCTGACTTGTGACTCAGGGGTCACTCCTGGCTGTACTCTGGGAACCGTGTGTGTGCCAGGGATCTAATTCAGACCTCCTGAATGCAAAACATATCCTCTGGCCCACTGAGCTCTTTCTCCAACATTATTTTAATCTTTCATCATGATTTAATCTAATTTTATAGCTGTGATTAGCAAAAGATTGTTCAAATTCTTCATAGATTCCACCTGATCAGTGATATATTACTGCATTAGTTATTTAAGTGCCATTGTTCCTTTGACATTTATTTGTCAACTGTAAACTTCCTAAGTTCATAAAAGGTTGGAGTAATAGTACAGCTGGTTAGGCATTTATTTGCCTTGCACACAGCTGACCTAAGTTTGAACCCCCTCACTCAGTATGCTTCCCTGTGCCCTAATAATGAGTACAGAATCAGTAGTAAGCCTTGCGCACCACCGGGTGTGTTCCTGCCCCTCTCTCCCAAAAAAGATTAAAAAGTTCATAAGATGGAACAGCATGTACCTAAAAGCATCCTTGAAGAGAGAGCGCCCATTCTCTGTTACGGCTCTAACAGCCCCCCTGTCAGCCTTAGCTTTTGTTTAGTTAGGCTTCTTTGAACTTGCCCCTATGTGGGTATATAGAGGTCTCATGAAAATGTATGCTTTTCAACTTTAACTGAAATAAGGCCATGCGTGATTGGGGTATCTACCAAACAGTCAGGCTAATATGTGAGTATTTATTTCAAGGATTACTTGAAAAGTTACCATACTCCACCTTCTGCCCTTCTTGATTCTCTCTTTCCCATCCCAGTTAGTAGTCTAAAATAAATTATGTTGTTTTCTATGACAATGCAGTGGGGTGTGAAATAACTAAGTGATTACTAACAATCAATATTGTTTTTTCAATAGAAGAGGTATTGATTCATATATGAGACAAAGGTATTACTGAAGTGCATTTATAGTCTACGTCAGGAGATGGAGAGAAAGACACATTCAGCAAAGAATATTTGCATTGAGAAAATGGTATTTTTTATGATTGTAAATAAATAAGTATACTCAAATAAACCTAATTTTAAAACCTTTTTTTAAAAATGGTTTAGAAGCCATCATCAAGATGACATGTAATCCTACTATATAGATGGGCTACTGAGTATCTTCCTCAGTCTTCATTATGATTGCCTAAGAATACAGTCAGTTTTGCGTGAATGCCTAACTAAGAGTAAATCCGCTGCCCTCAAACCTTAAGAATTGCTACAAGCTCTGTCCATTTAAAGTTCTCTGTTGTTTTGATGACTGGTTAAAGAAACTTTGGTACATTTACACAATGGAGTATTATGTGGCTGTTAGAAAAGATGAAGTTATGAAATTTACATACAAGTGGTACTACATGGAAAGTATCATGTTAAGCGAAATGAGTCAGAGAGAGCGGGATAGACACAGAAAGATTGCATTCATCTGGGGAACATAAAGCAACAAAACGGGAGACTAACACCCAGGAATGGCTGAGATTAGTACCAGGAATTTTGCTCCATGACTTGAAGGCCAGCCACATGTGCTAGGTGAAAAGGAAGGTCAGATAGAGAAGAGAGCACCAAATAAAGGGTGTTGTGAGGACCCTCCCAGGGTGGGAGAGACATGCTAAAAGTAGTCTATAGACCAAACATGATTGCCACTCAATGCCTCTCTTGCAAAACACAGTACCCAAAAGAAGAGAGAGAGAACAAGGGGGAATGCCCTGCCACAGAGGCAGGTTGGGGCCGGGGGGATGGGGGGTGGGAGGGATGCTGGGACCCATGGTGGGGGAGGATGGGCACTGGTGGAGGGATGGGTACTTGATCATTGTATAACTGAAACCCAAGCACAAAAATTTAGAAGTCTACAACTGTACCTCATGGTGTTTCACTAATAAAAAAAATGTTAAAAAAAAATAAAGTTCTCTGTTGTTTTTTTTTTTTTTATCGTACGGTAGGGTTACTATTCCTAAGAATAATAGAAATATAGAAGGGCTGGAGTGATAGCACAGCGGGTAGGGCGTTTGCCTTGCACATGGCCGACCCATGTTCGATTCCTCCGTCCCTCTCGGAGAGCCCAGCAAGCAACCAAGAGTATCCCACCTGCACAGCAAAACCTGGCAAGCTCCCCGTGGCATATTCGATATTCCAAAAACAGTAACAACAAGTCTCACAATGGAGACGTTACTGGTGCCTGCCCAATCAAATTGATGAGCAATGGGAGGTCAGTGCTACTGTGCCACAATTATAGAAATTATAATTATAAAAATTAATTTAAATTTTAGAGCAGACTGATATGTATTCTAATATGTAACTGGAAGCAGAATCAGCTATCAAAGACAGTATTTAAAATCAGAATTCTGTAGTTGCTTGATCTCTTTGGATTTTGTTTTCTTCTCTTTGGAATGGAGAGAAAACTAGGGAGGTTTTTTCTGTTCCATTTTGCTCTTCTTAGTCCTCTGTGTGGTCAGTTCTTTTTCATTCTTTAAAAGTCAGAATTAGGCATCACCTCTTTTACATCACCTCTGACTTAAATGCAAGTTGTGGTATGTGGTATTTGTACACCATTTTCCTAATACCCTAGGTATTCCTTTCTTTTTTGTTTTATTTTTTGGACCACACCACCTGTACTCAGAACTTACTCCTGGCTCTGCACTCCGGGATCACTCCTGATGCTGCCTGAGGAACCATATAGGCAAACTCTGGTCAGCCACTTGCAAAGCAAGTGCCTTCCTCCCTGGATCTCTTTGACACCACCCTCTTGAGTATTTCATTAAAATACCTTCATTTCTTTGCATATCATAATGTAACTGCTTGCTTTTCAGTCTTCTCCTTCAAACTATCAACTCTTTAATAGAAGATACTATATGTCTTGTCACTTTTTTATTTTCCTTGGTGTCAAGCATGGTGCCTGATGTATGTAAGATATTCCATGATAAATGCATATGAAAAAAGAGGATACATGAACTGATATATGTGAAGGCATTTTGTAAACTACAAAGTGCTATGCACATGTCACTTAATTTTGTGTTGTGTTTTGTGATGATGTATTTTTATTTCTCTGCCAGATTTTTTATTTTATTTTATTTTTTTATTTATTTTTTTGGTGGAAGGGTATCAGGGGTTGAACCCAGGACCTCACACATGCGAGGCAAATGCTCTACTTTCACTTCTCTTTATGAAAAATTTTTTCTTTGCATCTGTTTGCCTACCTCAATCTGCACTATTTTGCTTTTATAGTGAAAAGAAAGCATACTTAAGACAGATTGGATTGTTATTTCTTTCCGTCTATACTGAAAATAATACTTCCAAAGTTTCTTAACACATTAGAAGCTTAGCATGTAATACAAAATTGTGTATGTATTAATACCTCTTTTCCGGTGTTTTAATGGCAAGGATGTTGGATTCCGACTCGACGCACTACATACCATCCTGGAACAGGAAGTCCTGCTACAGGAGGATGTGGAGCTGATTGAGCTGCTTGATCCCAGCATCCTGTCTGCAGGGCAAACACAGCAACAGGAAAATGGACACCTCCCGACTCTCCGCTCCCTCGCAACCCCTAGTATTTGGTACTATCCAGAACAGAGCTCTCCTTGGCTTACCTATGAAATGTTAGCAGAGGAAATGGTCATTATGCTCTCAAGTTCAGGCATTATACACGTTCTATAATTTCCATATTTCTATTGTAATTCATGATATTCCAGAAGGTAAAACATTTTTAAGTGCCTTTCTAAAGTACGTACTATGTATAGTGAATCTTGGGGGAAAATCCCATTTGGTTTTTGTATACCAACTTATTATTAGTCTGTGCACAATGTGACAAGCAAATATAACACTCCCCTCCCCCAAATCTCGGTCACTCGTTCTGCTATATATGTTTGCATTCAGGCCTAGCCAGTTTTTCATTTATTTTTTTATAATTGATTATATCATAATCAAATTGTAGAGACACCAAGGATAGGGTAGTAAACAGTTGTCTCTTGCGTTCTCATCTGAGAAGAAAATATAGTCTGGTGATTCATATTATCCTAAAATTTCTCAAGTACTTGTGCAAAAATTCCAGGCTATAATCTGTTTTGCTTCATGTTTGAATGGGATTAGAGCTTAAACATATACATTGAACTATTAGGTTCCTCTTCCTAGGAAAGTTTAAATTTATCAAAATGAGCTAAGTCCTTGTTTGAGTGCTTCAGGCTTCCAGTCATATTTGTTGTCTTCTATATTCTGATATTCTCAAAGTATCTCTTTTCTGTCATATTGATAAGTGATCCATATTCTAACAGACAGCATTTGATATTTTCCAAATGAAGTCGGTGTGTTTTTCTTTCCATGACACAAGATAGTTTTTATTTTATGAAACTTGCTTAGAAAGATGTGAGAGGAAAGAAAGAAAATTCACGTTCAAGAGAGAACACAGGCCTCTCGCTCTAGGGTGGCAAAGCCAGCCAAGAGACATAGAGCCAGGCCGGTGCGTGCAGGTTTGAAGAGCAAGCCAAAGTATCTTATCCTTAAGAAAAACAAGAGTTTGGGCTGGGAAAGACAGCCCACGTGGTACAGCACATACCTGGCTTTGAGTGCTGGCATCACCTGCCCTTCCCCCTTACCTGTCGCCCCAACACATGGAGATTTGGTTGGGGAGCAAACTGGGGCTCAGCAAGTCACTCACTGTACTATCCCCTAGTTGTTAATGATTAAAAAATAGCATCTAAAGATATTCTTTCATGTTAAGATGGAGTTGAAAGAGTTCATAGTTTACCAGTAAAAGCAATTTCAGAAGATCTTTTTTGTTTGTTTTGGGGGGCCTTCAGTGGCCCTCGAGGCTACTCCTAGCAGTTGGGAGACCAAACTGTGCCAGGGCTCAATCCTGGGTCCAATTGCATGTGAAGCAGGCACTCACCCTGCGCTAGCTCTCTGGCCCCAAAACCTTCCATGTTTTTTAGTGTTATTGACCTAAACTTATCAGCTCAAATTTTAACATCTAAGCACCACTGCATCGCTGTCAGGTACCATTTAACCATTCACGTGACTTTTTAATACCATATGTTTTCAGTCGTACTTTACAAAGAAGGTCTTATCTACTTCAGTAAACACACACTTTTATTGCTTTTTACTCACTGAAATAATTTGTGTTTCGCTCATCTGATGGATCTGTTTTTCTCGGTTTCTCTGTTTTAGGGATATCTCAGTGCTCTTTGCCATCATTAGTTTGCTCGTTATGCTTCCCAGCTGGTGGATTCTGTCTTCCTGGCTGGTATGGGGAGTGATTCTCTTTGTTTATCTGATTGTAAGAGCTTTAAGATTATGGAGGACAGCCAAATTGCAAGTGACCCTCAGAAAATACAGTGCCCGTTTGGAAGATACAGCAGCAAATAGCCGGGCTTTTACTAACCTCGTGAGAAAAGCTTTACGTCTCATTCAAGAAACTGAAGTTATTTCCAGGGGATTCACACTGTGAGTTCATGTTTCATTTTACTTTTTCAGCTAATTTTTTTCTACTACATACTTAAACTAGAATTCTTTTAATTATCTTCATTTCTGTGTTGTATTTATAGGAAAAACAAGTTTCCCTAGCGTTGATTCTAGCGAGGGAATAAATATATGCTATACTTAATGTGTGGTATGAATATACTTGCTCATTTTAAGAAACAAAGTTTCTTGAGCATCATAATTTCTGTTTACCCTATGATTATAAGGGATAACATGATGTTTTAAACACTGTGTCTAGCCTGCGGTAGTTACCCAATCAATACTCCCTTTCCTCCCTTGTAGATACTCTCTTTCCTCCCTTTGTTTTCATTTATTTTGGTTTTGGGGTGACACCCCGCAGTACTAGGGGGCTACTCACGTCTTGGTGCTGGGGTCACTCTTGTGGGTGCTTGAGGATCATGCAGTGCTGGGGATCAAATGAGGACCTCCTGCATGCCAAGCATGCGCCCCAACCCTGTGAGCCCTCTGGCTGCCCTTTCCTTGGTTTAAATGATATAGATAAATCTGACGTAAATGTATTTGGAATAGTCCTGCCAAGTGCTATTAGCATTCTTCCACTTGCTTTTTTTTGGGGGGGGGGAGGAGTCTTGGGAGGACCACACCTCATCTTGTTTGTATGCTACTCCGCGCTTCTCAGGGATTGTTCCCAGTGGTGCAGGGCACTGCGGTGCCAGGGCCCAAACCCAGGGCACCTGTATGCAAAGCACGTGCTCCAGTCCTTTGAGCCATCTCCCTAGTCCCTGTTAAAAATAGTCTGTCAGTAGGGCAGAGTGATGGCACATCAGGTCAAGTGCTTGCCTGGTCAGCAGCTCACCCAGGTTCGATCCTCAGCACCACATGGTCCCCAAGCACTGGGGTGTCCGGGATCAAACCATGGTCGGCACCACTGCAGGGCTGCCACTCTTACTCGCTGTACTTCTCTCCTAAGGATCAGGTTTAGAAGTTAAAAATCAGGGGCCAGCGTGATAGTTATTATGGATATGGTGTTTGCCTGGAACCCGGCTTACCTACCTAGCTTCAGTCCCCCACATTCCATATGGTTCTGCCAGGAGTGATCCCCTAGCACAGAGTCAGGAGTAAGCCCTGAGCACAGCCAGGTGTGGCCCATACCCTGCTAGACAAATTTAAAAATCACACTAAATATAATAGCTCCATTTCTTCTGGCCTTATTCTGCATTTTATTATGAGGACTGACTGCTGCTTAGAAACACGGCTGTATCCAATAAATCCTTAGGTATATTGTATAAAGAATTCTATGCCATTTGCCGTTGCCTGGCTTGTAGGTATAAAATTAGCTAAAATGAGCAGGTTGCTTATGACTTACCTTGACATTTTGACTTTCGTTTATTCAGATGCAAATAGGAAAAAGAAATATCTTTTTTTAAAGGAGGGGATTTTATTTATTTTTATTTATCTTTTGCTTTTTGGGTCACACCGGCAATGCACAGGGGTTACTCCTGGCTCTGCACTCAGTAATTACTCCTGGCAGTGCAGGGGTCCATGTGGGATGCTGGCAATCAAACACGGGTCGGCCGCGTACAAGGCAAACGCCCTATCCCCTGTGCTATCGCTCCAGCCCCAAGGAAAAAGAAATCTTAAAATATAATTTGTGCTTCACTTGTTATTAGCATAACAATAGATGGCTGAAAATTTATGAGGAATCTTCATCTTTTCAAGATTTTTGGTTTTAAAAACAGATCTGGTAAAACGAAGTACAAACAATAATACCGTTATTTTGTCATTGTTTTTGGGTTGGGGGAGCTGCACCCTAGTGCACTTGGCTACCCCCAGCTCTGTGCATGGGGGTCACTGTTGGCAGTGCTTGGGGGACCTTGTGGTACCCAGAATGGAACCAGGGCTACATACAAAGGTAAATGCCTTGATCCCTGCAGTACTATAAATTGAAAAAAATGAGTGCTAGGGGCTGGAGCGATAGCACAGCGGGTAGGGCGTTTGCCTTGCACGCAGCCAACATGGCCGATACAGGTTCGATTCCCAGCATCCCATATGGTCCCCTGAGCACCGCCAGGAGCGATTCCTGAGTGCATGAGCCAGGAGTAACCCTGAGCATCGCGGGGTGTGACTCAAAAAGCAAAAAAAAAAAAAATTGAGTGCTAGTTTGTTTTGCTCCAGTTTATCCTGTCTAGTAAATCATTTAACCCTTTTTTTGCCTCACTTTTATTTAATAATATCACCTATTATCCTTTGTTTTAAATAGATTTTTAATGCCTAAATATATTTATTATTATTATTATTATTATTATTTTGGTTTTTGGGTGTCACCCAGCAATGCTCAGGGATTACTTCTGGCTCTGCATTCAGGAATTACTCTTGGCAGGGTTTGGGGCACCATATGGTTTGCCAGGAATCGAACCTGGGTAGCCGCATGCAAGGCTAATGACCTACTTGCTGTACTATCACTCTGGCCCTGGTTTAACTTTTTTTTTTTTTAAGTTTTGAGTTAAATGTCTGTTTACAAATTTATGGTTATAGTATAAGAAATTTGTGGTATGGTATTTTGCTTTGCTACGGGGAGTAGTAGTTAGGTTAAAAGATAGCATCCAGTAACTCTGTGATATATAGTCATTCATAATTACATTTATAAAAGCATAATATGTTATTTCTCATTGTTGCAAATAGGCACTCCCTATTTGTCTCTTAGAAGGTGGTATGAAATGTGCTGCCTATTGAAGTTGTGAGTAGCTGTGCTACTGCACTGTAACCTTACTTTGCCTTTCTACTTGCATTCCCCTGTTGGCCACTGGTCCTGTTATCTTTCTGCGTCCCCTACTTCATTTTGAGTAGGTAAGTGCCAGTGGCAGCAGGTGGGTAAGTCTGTAATATTATGAATGTACAGAATATATTTCTCTGCTGTATTTAATTATTCTGTACAAGTAACCAAAATATAATTGACGAACTCACATAACTGCATATGAAGAATGTAAAAGTGTTTATAAAAGTATCCATGCTTACAGGAGAAAAAGATTTTAAAAACTGAATGTGAAATTAATACCACTTTAGTTAATTTTAGTGGGTAGAGGTATCTATATCTAAAAGGCTTAGTTTCTTACATAAACTTACATTTCTACCATTTTTCAACTAAAATTCATTATTTCCCTGACAGTAATAGTTTTCAGTCTTTGAGATTTAAATTTTTTCATTTGTCTCTTATGATTGCTAAATTTGTCACAGGGAACATGACTATGAGAGCTGAGTTGGGGTGTTTTAATAATATTACAATGACAATTATGGAAAGGGAATAGTTTTCTAAAGATTATGTGTTTGTGGATTTAGAAACTGTAGGACACCTGTACAGTTGTATCACATTTTACTTTTCAAGTTTGCTTGACAGGGTCAGTGCTGCTTGCTCATTTAATAAATCTGGACAGCATCCAAGCCAGCATCTCCTCGGTCTCCGGAAAGCTGTCTACAGAACTGTGAGAGCCAACTTCCAAGAAGCAAGGCTGGCTACCCTGTACATGCTGAAGACATATCCTTTCCTGTCTGAGAGTAGCAGCGTTCCCAGAGTCCTGAGCATAGGTACACTTGCGACCTATAAAAGTGAACCATACCCTGGGATTGCCTATTTTGAAGCCTACTCGCCTCGTCATTCCTGTTTAAAAACCTGGAAGTTCACGCGTGGGCCATCCTATCAGTTCTTTCTCACTTTTCATTACCTTTGCATCCTTTCACTTGGAATGCAGACACTTAGCCATCCTCAAAGCCTACTCCCCAAGCCTTGGTGGTCTCCTCAGGTGTTAACAGATGGGGTGAAATTTCACGTGACCTTTTTCTTTTGGGGAGTAGACAGGGTGGGACCTTTGGCCCACACCTGATAGTGCTCAGGGCTTGCTGAGGCAAATGCCCTACCCAATCTACTATGGCTCCGGCCTCTCACGTGACTTCTTTATTTATCTTTATTTATTTTGGGGAGGCCACACCTAAGGGTACTTGGAGGCTATTCCCAGCAGTGTCTGATGTTGTGGGCAGCAGGGGGGATGAGAGACTGAATCCGAGGCTGCTTTGTGCAGAGCATGCACTCCTGCCCACTGAGCCATCTGTCCAGCCCCTCTCCTTTCCTTTCTAATAAGGAAAAATCTTGGAAGTCCCTCCTTTTGCTGGCTCCAAAATTAAGGTCCGAGGAGTCTGCTTTTCTAGATTTGAGGTTTTTTAAATGATGAAATGTGGCATGACTTGAGTCATGACTGGAAATAAGCTGGCCACGGGAAATCCCCTTCCAGGTTCTGGAGTCCTATGGGATAAGTTTATATTTGGGCTGTGTCACTGCGTACCTGACCTTCTGTAAGTTGCTTAACTCTGGGCTGTGCTCTGTGGATTTGTAAAATGGCAGTAATATAATCTTGCTCTGTTGCTGTTGAGAGACAGTGGATTAGTCTTTCTCAACTGGAGGCCATGTGGAGCCCCAGAATATTTCTAGGGGCCACAGGTGAAAGTCGTGGGAACCCCAGGAAGAAAATGGCATCAGAAGGGGGGCAGTGCCAGAAAGAGGCTGAGAAACAGTGGATTAGTGCACATAGTTCTTCAGCAGAATCCCTAGTCAGGAAAAAAAGATGTATAGGATATCTATTTTGATTAAGATTCATAGACAAGTTGAATTATGAATGCAATGAGACTACTTTATACCCCTACTGTGCTGAGTATCATATTACTAATAGGTCTAATGCTTAAAGTTTGGAGACTATTTCATATTCTATCATTATATATTTATGCAGGCAGGCCTTCCTGACTATATTTTCCTGTTTCTCCTTAAGGAAACCCAAATAAATCTATACTTTTGTGTGATTTTCTTAGTGTCACACAACTCATCAAGTTCTGTATCTTGACTACAGGACTGAAACCTTTGACATGAGTATTTATTATAATACACTACCTTCGTTCAGCCCCCACATTGCCTAAATGCCTGCCTACTATGTTCCAGAAAGACAGTGAGGAACTTGTACTGCCCACTCTTGAAGATTTTTATTTTAGTGTGGCGAATGCATAAAGCAGTAGTCATATTACAGAATGCATACAAGCACCAGAGAGGTGGTGCAGGAGGAGTGTTACTTACCTCCCAACACTGGTTCAGATCCCCATCACCATCAAGGATCACTCCTGAGCACAGAGCCAGGAATAGCCCCTGAGCACCCACTGGGTTGGCCCAGAAACAAAAATCCTCAGAGCCAAAAACTATTGGACTGCACTGGGGTTAAGAAGCCTTGCCTTGCAACACAGCCAAGCCCATTTCTATCCTCAGCACTTCAGAGTACTGCCAGAAGTGATCCCTGAGCAAGAGCCAGGAAGTAAGCTGGCAGCAGGACAGAGGAGGAGAGAGCCTTGGGGATAAGTCTCCATATTCCAGGTAGAAAGAAACCAAGATGGGAAAGAAACAGAGACCTGATGGTGTGGCTCATAAACTGTGGGTAGGCGTGTGAATGTTTACTAAGGATGGACTCGGCAGCCAGCATGTAGTGGGACAAGTAGTAGACGGGGTCCCTGCCTCCGGGCATTTAGAGTTTAATCAGGGACAGGGGAATAAAAAGGGATAAACTAACACAGATTGAATTTGTGAGTTCCCTGTGCCAGTCACTTCTCAGGAGCGAGCAGTCAACAAGAAAAACCGGAAGGAATGTGTTCTTGACTTCTAGTGGGTAAATGAATGAATAAAATGTAAGCAGATGAGATTTGGGGATATGTATTTGTTGTGCAGAAAAAGATTGCCAAGTGAACAGAACAGAGCAGTGTGTCTCAACCTTTTTCTGACAGCCTTGTTTCCTGTACCTCCTACTCCCACACAGTTCCCCTCTCCCATCCTACTGGTTGGCCACGTATTCTTGTTCCATGGCCTCTCTTTTGTGCCATTTCATTTGTGACCCCCTTGACATGCCCTGCGGCTTACAGCTGTGACCTGTGGTCTCAGGTGAGAAAGGCTGGAAACATGATTTGTGGGCTACAGCTGGTGATTGGATGGTAGGAGAAAAGTCTCTGAGAGGCTGATGTTTGATCCGAGATTTGCATGAGGAGACCAGAAGTGGGTAGAATATTTCAATTAGGTGGGCCCACAGGTCTAAAGACTTCTTGGCAGTTTCCACAAGATGGGAGGACTTCTTTTAGATCGTTGTTAGTTGTTTTTGCTTTCTTGAAAAGGCTTTGTGATGGCCTTAACCTAATTTAACCTACCCCCTGAACTCTGAGAGTGACAACGTAACCAACTACATCTGTGTGGTGCCTTTCAAGGAGTTGGGCCTGGGGCTTAGTGAAGAGCAGATTTCGGAGGAGGAAGCACATAACCTGACAGATGGCTTCAGCCTGCCTGCCCTGAAGGTAATGCATTCTGCGGGAGGATGCCTGAGGAAGAGATGGCCCGGGGTTGTGCTTGTGCTCTCTGAACAAAACACAGTGCTTCTGCTCCCTTCCGGACTTGTGAAATACCAGTACTGTCAAAGCCCGAACTGACAACTTGTGCAACACTGCTTTCATTTGTTTATTTTGCAGTGCCTGGGGCCAAGCCCAGGGCCTCACCCATGCAGGCAAGCACCCTGCCACTGAGCTACATCCCCAGCCCCCTTTTTTTGGTTATTATTTATTTAGATGGGAGGCTCTCAGGCATTGTGCAGGGGGTCCCAAGGTCATGCGGGTGACCCGGACCACACTGGTCGTGCTGAGGAGTGAAGTGGGAGGGGGCTGCATGCAAGGCATGGTCATATTTTATTTCCTTCTCCAGCACCAGCTTAGCTTACCTTGAAAAGGCAGAATCGTCTGACACCTAGCCTTGTTGTACAATAAGTGTTAACTATCTCAGGTAATTTACTCAATACTATACTGACAAAGCCAGTAGTGTTGGTTCTGTGCCCATGTGATCATGTGACCGTCCGGGAGCTCTGCAGCATCACAAGAGAGCTGCGTGTTAGTAGCCCAGGAAAAGATCGCAGTTACAAGTACAGTTTCTACTGTAGCTCTTTGGCACCATCATAAAGCCAAAAGATCATAAATTGAAACATCATTAAGAACCATCCTTGTTAAGATACTATTACCCTTTGGGGTGGTGGCCGTTTCTTTTGTGTCCGAACTGACCACCATAGAAGTTTTCAAAAGGGGCTCCCAGCTCTTCGCTCAGGGGATGCTCCTGGCCATGTGGTGCCGGGATCAAACCTGTGCCTTCTGAAGCCAGGCAGGAACTTCAGCCCTTTGAGCTACTTCCAGCTCCAGGTGAAAGAGTCTTAAAAAAGAAAATCCAGGGGCTTTGGAATTGAGTAAGCCTGCATTTTACATCTTAGCCATTTGGTTTTGGATAGCTTACTCTTTGAAATAATCTCTCCAGTAGATGCAGATTACCTTAGGGTTTTAGATGAAATGAGATGCAGTATCTTGAACAGGGTGTGTCACGCATCCCATAGTTAACTCAAAAACAGTAATAGTTCTTTTCTTAAAGAGGCTCTAGAGGAAAAGATTAAGGTCATATTTTATTTCCTTCCTGTAAATTATTCTTTACTTACCAGGATGTACTTGTGATTTCCCAGCCGAGGGGGAATGTTGTTTGTTTCAGTTTTGGGGCCACACCTGATGGTATTCAGGGCTTACTCCTGGCTGGACACTCAAGGGGATGGCTGCCAGCAGGTTGGCCATGTGCAAGGAAAGCATCCTATCACTGTACTGTCACTCTGGCCCTATGTTTTGGGATCATTTTTTGTTGGGTGATCATATGGGTCTGGGAAATGAACTTTATTTTCTCCTATTGAAACCTGAGCTCCACCAGGAAAGGGGTTGTTTCTCTTTCTTTCACTGCTAAATAATTGGCACCTAGAACCATAGGTGGTACCAGGGATGTACAGTGCCTGACACATCAAAGGTACTGAAGAAATATTTGCTTGAGGCTGGAGCAATAAAACTCAGGGGGCAAGGCACTTGTATGTAGTTCATCTGATTCCATCCCTGGTACCACCTATGGTCCTTAGAGACCACTAGGAGCGACTTCTGAACACAGAGCCAAGAGTAGTACTAGCCAAACCACTCCCCTCCACAAAAGAGGAAATATGCTTGCTCAATGAACAAATAAAAGAATAAAGGAAATCATTAAGTGGTAAATGGAGAAAAAAGATTAAATAAGCCTTTTGAGGTGCCAATGACTATGGTGGAGGGAAGCCAGGAGGAGAAGGTGGTTCTGAAAGGTGGTTAAGTGTTATGTATAAAACCCTTTCAGCAGAGCCAGAGTACAGTAGGTAGAGCGTGCCCTGCATGCAGCCTACCCGGGTTCCATCCCTAGCATTCCGTATGGTCCCCTGAGCACCACCAGGAGCGCAGAGCCAGGAGTGACCCCTGAACATTGCCAGGTATGACCCAACCCCCCCCCCAAAAAAAAAACCTATCAGCAACAGTATTGTGAATCACAGTGCAAAAACTTTTTTTTCAAAAGTGCCTCTCACAGAAGCAGACTGGTGGGTGGGAGACAAATGGGGAGTTGAGGGAGAAGATGGGGATAGTAATTGGTTGGGGGAAGTGGACATTGGTGAAGGGATCAGTGTTGAAACATTGTATTCCTGGAGGCCCAGTATGAATAACTTAACTTCACAGTACTTAATAAAAATAAGTAAGCCATTTGAGGTCAGCTTTTTTATAAATACCTATTGTATTTTATAGCTTAGAAGTTGGACCCTCAATTAATGCAAAAATAGGTTTGCATGAAATAATCATTTTTTTTCTGATGTGATTTTCAGGTTTATTTTAAAGTTTTGTTTGTTTTGTTTTGTTTAATTTTTATTAGTGAGTGGTGGAAGGGATATTGGGATCCGTGGTGGTGCATGAAATAATCTTAATTCATTATTTGCATAAACTTAAAACACTTAATAGTCTAATGAGGTTAGAGAGATAATACAGTGAGTAAGGCATCTACCTTGCAAGTGGCCAACCCGGGTTCAATACCCAGCATCTCATATTGCCCCCCAAGCACTTCGAGAAGTAAGTCCTGAGTGTCACCGGGTGTGGCCCATAAAGAAAAAGAAATAATAAAAGAAAACTGTTTAATAGGTAAAAGGTAAAGGCCCTCCCGTTGATCGTCGATTTGCTTGAGCGGGCCCAGTAACATCTCCATTGGAGACTTTTGTTGTTACTGTGTTTGGCATATCGAATACTCTCGGTAGCTTGCCGGGCTCTCCGAGAGGGGCGGAGGAATCGAACTCGGGTCGGCCATGTTGGCCGCTTGTAAGGCGAACGCCCTACCGCTGTGCTATCACTATTATGTCCATTTTAATTGTAAAAAGCCAGAATCTAAATTAGTGGTTCTGGCATTTTGTTGTTGTTCCTACTAGAGTATTCCTTATGTGTTTCTTTGTGTGACGTTGTCTTTGTATTATAACAGGACTATATCTGGAAAAATACCCTGCTGCCTGGATTCAGGGTCTAGCTCTCAGGGATGGGTTTTTCAGTCTCATGCCAGACATTCTGAGTATGCTCACCTGGAACTTATTTATGTGTTAATTTCTTTGCTATTTCTTAGGCCAGAATAGTGGTATAATTTTCTGAACCCCATACTCTCTCTCCCGGTGACTCATTTCTTTGGATTTATACAGTTCCCTCATTCCTACTGTCTTCTTCTGTGTGTGGATTTCCAAAATTGAGAACATTCACTTCTGATGACAGCGTCTCACTCTCTCAGTGCTAGGGCAAAGCTATAGTAAATGACACATTTGTTACCTGCTGTCTCGCAACCAGTACTAAGTGCCTTGACTACTACATAATTTTGATTAACATTTGTAGCTCGTCTTGAGTTAGTTTAATTTCAGCTATCTTCATCAAGGATAACGTTTAAAAAAAAATCAGAAGTTAAGATAAAGCAGTTTGTCCCTTAGTTTGAATGTTGACCTGGATTTGTATTGATACAGTTCTGGTTTTTTGTTTTGTTTTTAAGGTTCTGTACCAACTCTGGGTAGCACAAAGTTCAGAATTCTTTCGACGATTAGCCCTGTTACTTTCTACAGCGAACTCACCTCCCGGGCACTTACTTACTCCAGAACTTTTGCCTCATCGTGTTTTATCTGATGTGACTCAAGGTCTACCTCATGCTCATTCTGCCTGCTTGGAGGAGCTTAAGCGCAGCTATGAGTTCTATCGGTATTTTGAAACCCAGCACCAGTCAGTACCCCAGCGTTTATCCAAAACTCAACAGAAGTCAAGAGAACTGAACAGCGTTCACACAGCAGTTCGAAGCCTACAGCTCCATCTGAAAGCGTTGCTGAATGAGTAAGTTTAGAAGCCATATAAGGAAATGTCCCGTGATTAGCAACCTCCATTCTTGTGCCATTGTGGTTGTTGGCTTGTGTCCTAGCTAGAAGGAAGAAGCAAACTTGAGACTTGCAGCATGAGGATGGTTGATAGCTACGAATGTAACCGAGAAACGATGATTTGTAAGTACAATTGTTTGGGGGAAATCATTTATATTTTTAAAATTTTCTGGTCTCAACAGAAAGCCTAAAATGATAGGACAGAAGCAGATGTTGCTTATTGTATTTGGCAACTAACATGGAGAATGGTATGAGCAAAGCTGTTTGGGGGCCACACCCAGCGGTGCTTGGGGCTTGCTCCTGACTCTGCACTCAGGAATCACTCCTGGTGGAACTCGGGGGACCATATGCAATACGAGGGATTGAATCCGAGTCAGCTGCGTGCAAGGCAAGTGCCTGACCTGCTGTACTGTCTCTCTGACTCTAAAAAAAAGCTGAACTCTTAAAGTAGGGTTTCTAACCTGGAACCTACACTCTAGGAATGAGTGCCACCAGCACACTGGAATAGTAATTATTAGAGGCATTATACTGTCATTTAAATTAAGATACTATATCTTAATAAATTATAGCAAATTTGGACATTTTTTTCATAGTACAGAGCACTTTTTTTTTTCGGCTTCAGTTGAAAGCAGAATTGTAGGATCCATAGCTTTTCACTTTCCTACTTTATATGGCAGTATTAATGCACTTCCTTAACACCCTATTTTTATGTCTCACTCTGACTCCCTCCCCTCCTGTACTGTCCCTTTCTTGCTGCTCTTTTTTAATTCTCTTTCATTTTTATAAAGTTGTTCACAATATTTGATTATATTTACTATTTGAACACCAATTCCACCACCATTACACCTTCCCACCACCATATTTCCATCCTGAGCCCCAAACCCTGCCCCCAAAGAAGAACCAAAATAATTTATTTGGTATCACTTGCTATGAATAATCCACAAAAATGAGACAAAAAAAGGTTTCTTGGAGGAAGTGTGTGATGATTGTTGTATTTCACGCAGGAGCCATTAAGCCCTTCTGTAGATTAGTAACATATTGTTAAAGGTTGAGCCTTGTGTGCTTATATCTATATTTGTATAAATATATTTCCCTCTAAGAGTGGTTGCCTTCTACTTTAAACCCCATCAAATGTGGTCTGCTACTCTTGGTATTTCAGTGGTGTGAAGTATGAGATGTCCAGGAATAGACTCCTTCACGGGTGAGGCTCAGCCCGAGCGTGTGGAGAGTGGCTGTGAGCATGGTGGCAGTTGAGTTCTGGAGGTTTTCAGCTGCCAGGGCTGGCTCTACTGGGGCAGGGAGAGGCCTCACATACCCCCATCCAGATTCCCCTGAATGAAACAACCTTCGCGGGATCTGGAAGCACGGCTGTGGTGTATTGTTCTGTGCTCTCTTCCGAGAGATTTATATTGAGTCTCTGGATCATGGCCATTAATGAGATTATATGGCACCAACAGCAGCTGGTGGATGTGACTACCAAGCTGCGGGAAATAGGGGGAGATGGTGGGGGCCACCCATTCCCATTACCCTTGCTGTTGCTCTTTCTTTGATGTCCAGGAGCTCCCCCAGAGGTTGCCATGCTTGTGCTTGTAGTTTTGGTACCTGTGCCCATTTTGTATTTGGGATGCTTGTGCCATCTTGGTTGCAGTATCTGTCAAGGCTTGCTTGTACATGAGCTGGGGCACTCACCCGGGATTGAAGACTGGCCCGCATTGCTCACACATCTATGTGCAGTGCTCTCTGGGGCTTGGACACACCTGGCTAAAATTTTTTTAAATTTACAAATGTATCATTTATTCATTGGATAAATAAATTATAATGCAGGCGTCACGTTTGGAAGGCAGGCACTCTGCTGCTGAGCACCCCCCCACCCCACCCAGATCCCCTTTCTGATTTTTTTTCCCCATTGGAAATGCTATTGAAGAGATGATGTTCCAGGAAGGAAGAGGGAAATGGATGGATATGGGAAATGAAAAGGACTTTGCCCTTAGAGCAAGGATTGTGGATTATACATAGGAAATAGGGGGAAAGCAGCATTCAGTGCATATGCCACTATATGTTGCCTCACTACCTATAGTCTCGCCGCCATAAACCAGCATGTCTGATTTATTCTATGGTGCTACTACACACATTTCCACATTATCTGGAATGCTGTGTCATGCTTCATATTTCTAAGCCATTCTGGGTTTCATTCTTCTCTGTGTGTCCACTTTTCTGTTTCTCCTCTCACTTGCCCTCACTAGGACATTAACTCTTTTTTTTTTCTTTTTGGGTCACACCTGGCGATGCATAGGATGTTATTCCTGGCTCTGTACTCAGGAATTATTCCTGGCAGTGTTCGGGGGACCATGTGGGATGCTGGGAATCAAACCCGGGTCGGCCATGTGCAAGTCGCTGTGCTATCCCTCTATCTCCATTAAGTCTTAACCATGTTCCCTCTGGCTCTGGCTCGGGGCACTCATGGCCAGGGTTCACTGCAGAGCAGCTTAGACTGAAGTCTAGACAAAACATTCTACAGAAAGATTTACTGTAACTTCACTAAAGTCTGCATTTCTTTTAAAAAAAAAACACTGGGGCCACACCCAGCAGTGCTTGGGGACAGTGGTGGGGGGTGGGGGCAGGGCGACCCCCAGTGATGCTTATAGCCCGGTGGGATGGTGCCCAGGCTCCAAGTTACCCAAAAGCCACGGCTGGTAGTGCTGGGGGCCAGGGGCATAAAGTGCCAGGGATTGAACTCGGGGCCCTGCAACACCAAGGTATCTCATCAGCCCCTTTTTCTGTCTTTAGTCCTTACTACCTCCCTGCAATCCTGCTAAACTCGATAAATACTTTTTTGGGGGTATCATTTTCTAGAACAGTGTTTCCTAAGATGAGCGATATGGCCTTCAGGAGGGGCTCTGGTGTGATAGGGAGGGGCGGTGGAGCAGGTAGCAGGGCAGTTTCTCTGTGTTCACTAAAGAAGTTAGATTTTTCAGGAGCTTAGTCTTTTTTTTTTTTTTAAATAAAAGGGCACAGTGGGCCAAATGAAGTTTGGAAACCTCTGGTTTAGAATGAATTTATCTTTTGTACATACTTATATTTAGTCCATTTTTCAATGCTACCTTAAAAAGACCCCTTTTGTCACTGTTCCCTTGCTAGTAGTAACAATTTGCTCCTCTCAATTCTGATTGTGTGTGTGTGTGTGTGTGTGTGTGTGTGTGTGTGTGTGTGGACAGGCCTACACCCCAGCAGTGCTCAGGGCTTACTCCTGGCTCTGCACTCAGGAATCACTCCTGGTGATGCTCAAGGCACCATATGGGGTGCCGGGGATTGAACCTGGGTTGGCCGCGTGCAAAGGAAGTTCCCTACCCACTGTACTATCACTCTGCACCTCTTGACATAATCTTTTTTTTTTCTTTTTGGGTCCCACCCGGCATTGCATAGGGGTTACTCCTGGCTCATGCACTAAGGAATTACTCCTGGTGGTGCTCGGGGGACCATATGGGATGCTGGGAATCGAACCCGGGTTGACTGAGTGCAAAGCAAACATCCTACCCACTGTGCTATTACTCCAGCCCCTTGACATAATTCTCTATCTTTCCATGGTATTGTGCTGTTGTACCTGGATCCAGTCCAGCTTTATAGTTTACCAGTTCTAACTCTGGGCAAGTTTCTCCAGTTCTCTAGACCTGATTCCTCGTATATAAATAGAAATAAAATATTATTTATATGTTTATCATATGGTATTTTACTTATATGTGTGATTTCCTAATTCAGTTTTACATTTCTTAGAAGTAGGAGATGAGTTCCATTTACCCTTTCTGTCATAAAACACCTAGTATGTGTGCAAGGACTATTCATGAACTAAGTATATGATACTCCATATACCAAAACATTTTTAATTAAAATACACATGCCATAAAACTTACATTTAACCATTCTTAGTGAACAATTTGTAGCAATAAATCCATATACGTAATTTTGCCACCTTCACCACCTTCTGTATTCAGAATTTTTTGCATAAGCATATTTCTAAAATAAGCCATGAGAATTATCAACTTTTCATTTCATATTGTAAGGTTTGTTTTTTTTTTCTTTATTAGGGTAATAATTCTTGAAGATGAACTTGAAAAACTTGTTTGTACTAAAGAAACTCAAGAAGTAATGTCAGAGGGTTATCAAATCCTAGAACAAAAATTAAAGTTGATTCAGCCTCATGTTCAAGCAAGTAATAGTTGCTGGGAAGAAGCCATTTCTCAAGTGGACAGACTGCTTCGAAGAAACACAGATAAAAAAGGTATCTATGAGATATTTCTTTCATGTTTATTTTACATATACAATAATGTTAACAGTTGTTTTATACATACATTATTGCAACAGCTACTCACAGCACAACAGCATACCTCCATCAATGTTTGAGTACCTTTTCTATAAATAGAAACACCCAGAGGGGACCATTTATTGTTAAAAACAATTGTACCCCATCTACCTTTCTCCTGTTAATCTGAGATGTTGAGTGACTAAATCTCTTCGCCAGAATTATTAAAACTGCCTCTAAGGGCTGGAGCAATAGCACAGCGGGTAAGGCGTTTGCCTTGCGCTCAGCCCATGCGGCCGACCCAAGTTCGATTCCTCCGCCCCTCTCAGAGAGCTCGGCAAGCTACCGAGAGTATCTCGCCCACATGGTAAAGCCTGGAAAGCTACTCATGGTGTATTCGATATGCCAAACACAGTAACAAGTCTCAGTCTCACAATGGAGATGTTACTGGGCCTGCTCCAGCAAATCGATGAACAATGGGAGGACAGTGCTGCAGTGCCTCTAAGGGCCAGGAGAAAGCTAGGGGGCTAGTGTATATGCTTTCCATGCAGGAGCCCTGGGTTGAAGTCTCAGTACTACATGTTCCCCTGGGCACTGAAGGACGTGACCCTTGAACAATGTGCCAGGACCCCTGAGCTCTACCAGTGTGGCCCCCCTCTCTGGAAAAATTGCCTTCAAATCATTCTGCCATTCTCATTGTTTATTTTTACAGGCAGGTTGAACACTGGGCCTCACACAAACAAAGCAATGCTCTAATGCTGAGCCCATTCTGGCCCTAGAAACCATTTCTTATACTTTACATATGTGGTTTTTTTGGATATAGGTAAGAAAGATATGAATTAAAAAGCAATTCACAAACTTTTCTCATGGAAATTCTCACAATGTTCATGTCTTAATTTTATTTTTAAAGTGGGTGCTCCAAGGGCCAGGGTGATAGTATGGCAGTAAGACACTTGCTTTGCACACAGTTGACTTGGGTTCGATCACTGACATCCCATATGGTTCCCCAAACCGAGCAAGGAATGACTCCTGAGTGCAGAGCCAGGAGTAAGCCCTGAGGAGAGCTGGGTCTGGCCCCCAAACAAACAAAAAGTGGGTGCTTCAGTTAGCCATATCTTTCTGTTAGTCATTTCGAAAATATAGGACTGTCAGAATAGCCTTCATCCACATTTCCCAGTTACTGGCGTTCTATCACATATGCTGTATCTATGTAGGAGTCTATAAATCCTTTTGGTGTGTTCTTCTGAGTCAGCTGACGGTAAAATGCAGATATGAAATTCTGTGACTCCAACATAGTTCCATTGGCACTTTTAAAAATCATGGACATTCTCCTTCATACGCACATTATAACATCAAAATCATGAGATGAACACTTTACAATATTAAATGTTGCTTTCTAATTCACAGACCTGAATCAAATTGTTTGATATAATTTAAGCCTAGAACATTTACAGGATTGATCCAGTATTTTTATATGTTCAGATCTAGATCATGTAACAGTGTTCCTGCTTTTTAATTCTCCATTAGCCTTTTTTTTGCCTATCATGATAACGTGAAAAAAACTCACAGCTATATAAATATTTTCTCAGAACATTCCCACTATTAGTCATACATATTCCACTTGACCCACAATATTATTCTTATCTATTTACCTCAGAATAGAAAAGTTAATGTTCACACAAAAGTCAGTCCACATATAGTTATAGTTGGCTTTATTTGTAATGGCTGAAAACTAGAAGCAGCTAAGTGTTGCTTCAGCTGGTGATAAATTTTTACTTCCATGTATACAATGGAATGCTAATCAGCCAAAAAAAAAAAAAAGAAAAGAACCTACTGTTGCATCAACAGGATGACTGAATCTCCTTCATTATGCTAATCAGAAGCATTGCATTATGCATCAGCATTACATTATGTTGAGCAGACTCAGACTCCAATTATATGTTTTTAGAACAGCAGGATTTAATAAGAATAGAGTATGTCAGTGTTTACTAGAAGTTGGAGAAGAGGGATCAATTATTCAATAGGGAATAAAAAAATGTAAGATCATATTTTGAGGTGATGGAACAATTTTAACTCTTGAATGCCATGGTTATATGATTCTATGTTTTGTCTAAACTAACATTTCTGTTATGTACTATTGTTATTAGCATCCATTCATAGTTCTTGCTTGCATGAAATATTACTGTGATGGTCATGAAATGATAATTTTCAATTCTTTCCCCTTTCTACCTAATCACTATAGATTCTTATTCTATTTGGGGCATTTTAATTTATTGCTTAAATTGTTTAAAATTTGATCAAAGGAAGCCCATTTAAGGTGGATTTTTTTTTTCTTTTTGGGTCACACCCGGCGGTGCACAGGGGTTACTCCGGGCTCTGCAATCAGGAGTTACTCCTGGTAGTGCTCAGGGGATGAATATGGGATGCTGGGAATCGAACCCGGGTCAGCCACGTGCAAGGCAAACGCCCTACCGGCTGTGCTATCACTACAGCCCCTAAGGTGGTTTATCTGACCATCATTCTCTGAACACTAGTTGTTTCTCTTCTGGTTTGTTTGGGTCTGTTCTTAGATACTCAGGTTGTTTCCAGATTCTGGCTATTGTAAATAGTGCTGCAAATAAACATACAAGTGCAGATGTTATTTCTACTATATTTTTTTTGCATCTTCAGGATATATTCCCAGAAGTGGTATTGATGGGTCAAATAGGAGCTCAATTTCTAGGTTTTTGAGAAACGTCCGTATTGTTTTTCAAAAAGCAGGTGGTCTTAAATGGGTCTGACTGTGCTCTAATGAATCTATCTAGGAAAATGGGGAATGGACAGATGTGGCCCACAGGCAGACCCCCTGATATTTAGAAATAGAATTGAAGGATATACTGTTAAGACTTTTTTTTTATGTTTTTTATCTATACTGCACCCTTTTTAATTGTTTGAGGCTATCGCTAAGCCTGTCACTTAAAATCTAGTGGTTTTTTAGGATAAATTACAAGCATAGTTTTAGGGTATAATGAATATACATATGAAGGCAGCACAAACTGAAGCTTCTTATTATTGGTATAGTTGATGGCAAGTACTTTTGCTTTTCCGCCTCAAATCCTGCATAGAAAGAAAGTAAAAGCAAATGTAAGCAAATAATATTGGTTAAGAGAAGGGGAAACAAAGTATTGGTAGGAGAGACCACTGATTTTTTTTTTTACCTGAATGCCCTACTGATTTGCCAAAGTGAAATCCATCCAAATGGTACAGTAGTTTATGTACACACCATAGTAGGGTTAATTTTTGTTTTAAAATTTTCATCCAATATCTTATTCTTACTGGCTCCCCAGTGATTGTTAGATGTTCCAGGGGGCTGGAACAATAGCACAGTGGGTAGGGCGTTTGCCTTCCATACGCCCAACACGGGTTCAATTCCCAGCATCTCACATGGTCCCCACACATTGCCAGGAGTGATTTCTGAGTGCAAAGCCAGGAGTAACCCCTAAGCATCACCAGGTGTGACCCAAAAAGAAAAAAAAATGTTCCAGGATTCTGTGTTGATTTAGAAGTATTGATTGTTTAAAACTGGTCATAGTTGACATATTTACACCAGTGGAATTAGAAATCAGCCAGTGGTATAAACTGAGTGTATACATTTGATTTATATGAGAACCTGTCAGGTGTAGAATATCTATTTGTTACTAATTTGAATGATTGGTTTGTTGTGTTCCCTTTTATTCAGAGAGCTCAAGATATTGCGTCTCAGCATTGATGCAGTGAGATCTGTATCCTGCTAAATAGTCAAACATGTAATTTGCAGTAGTCATTGTTCTAAGCCCTTTATAATAAGATATTTTCACCACTGTTTCTGTAACTTTAAATTTTGGTTTTCTGAAAATCCCTTAACAAGTAAATTGCAGGAACTGGGATTTAACCCAGGTATGTCCAATTCCAGCTCTCTGAACCTATTTTTCTCAACCATTTCTTATGGTGACTACCGTCCAATCTTGTTTTCTTCTTGTGACCCTTCTGTGTTACCAGTTGTATCCCTGGGAATAACCCAAGGTTCCACAGGAGGGCCACATGCCCCCTGGTTAAAAGACGTTACTCCTGGGCCGGAGCTATAGCACAGCAGGTAGGGCGGGCGTTTGCCTTGCATGCAGCTGACCCGGGTTCGATCCCTGGCATCCCATATTGTCCCGTAAGCACTGCCAGGAGTATTTCCTGAGTGCAAAGCCAGGAGTAACCCCTGAGCATTGCTGCATGTGACCCGAAAAGGAAGAAAAAAAGAAACGTTACTCCTAACCATTTGTTTCTCACTATTTTGGTATTATTTATTCAGTCATTTTGTTTACAGATTAGTCGTCTTTTGGTAACATTTCCCTCAAATACTTCTCCCTTTTAAAACAAAAAAAGTTATCATTACTCTTGAGAAGTAAAATCTAGACACTTAAAAGCAGACGTCCTGTTACACAGAGCTAATGCAAAAGTATAGAGAACTGGATATGAGACTTAAGTGATCATGTGGTTAGACAAAATTTTAAAAACTTTTTGTTGTGCCATACCCATAGTGCTCAGGGCTAACTCCAGGCTCTGTGCTCAAGGATGACTCCCAGTGATGCTGGGGGATCATATGGGGTGTTGAAAGGCAAATGCCCTCCCTGCTTTTTCCAGTCCCGACACCAATTTGAATCAGTGTTAAACTCACCTGGGTGATCTTTTCAAGCTATTGTGAAATTTCATTTCCAGTTATAACACCTGAGAATAAACGTGTGTGATATTGAAGTTTTTGATATGGGAGACAATGGTAGTCTGTGTTGAGATGGTTCCTGTGCCATGACGTTTGTTTTTGAAGTACTCAGAACGTACCTATTGTGGGCCAAAGGCTAAGGGGAGATGAAGAAAGGGCAGAGAACCTTGTCTTCTCCAAGTACTTAAATAGTACCTATTAATGCTGTTCTTAACTTTAAAATCTTAATTTATTTGTTAAGTAAAAATAAGAATCAGAATAAATTGAACTATTAAATTGGGAAATATTGGGACCAAGAATAGTTTTTAATTAGAGGTTCAATCATTTGTGTATGACCTGTTTCATTTTTGTTTTTATTGGGTGGGGGGGGGGGTTGCTTGTTTTTTGTGAAGTTGTCTTATTTAAAGAAACTTACTTAAACTAAATGTCTTTATTCCAAAAAATTTACTTATAATTTTTTTAATTTACTTAAACGAACTTAAGAAATTTACTTAAATGTGAAGGGAGAGACAGATACTTATTTAAGAGAGAAATGAGCTTTAAAAAAATGAGAATCCACATCTTAGGTTGACATGTGGGCCAGTCCCCAGGATGGTAAATGAAGGAAAAGAAAAAGGAAAGTAGGGGCCAGAGTGATAGCACAGTGAGGAGGGCATTTACCTCAAATGCGGCTGACCTGGGTTTGATCCCAGGCATCCCATATGGTCCCGGAGCACTGCCGAAGTAATTCCTGAGTGTAGAGCCAGGGATGACCCCTAAGCAGAGCTGGGTGTGATACCCCCACCAAAAAAAAAAAGGGGGAAAGGAAAAGAAAGGAAATGCACGTCTAAGGTGTGACCTGTTTCTTTTTAAGGCAAGATGGAAGTGACCTGTGACAACCCCGGCTGTGTGGTGGGCACCCCAGCACAGCCTACTCTACACATTGCAGACCAAGATCCAATCCCGGAGGAGCAGGTAAGGGTGAAAATGGCTGTTTCCTCTGGTGAAAATGAGTTTTCGTGAACAAAACTCACCTATGTTTCTTTATAAGTGACATCAATAATTGTGGAATAAGTTGTTGGATTATTCTCCTAATGGAGTTCAAAATTAAAACAATGTTTTTGTTATCAAGTCATTATACGTGGTACCTTGAGATTGAATCCACCAGCAGATTTTCTTATATTCAATTAAATTATTTCCAGTGAAATTATATTCAGTGCGAAGCATTTTAAAGTGATGAAACTCGTGAAAAAACTGTGTATTGGCAAAAGGTATACAATTGGATGTTTTGACAATGTTTTACCTTGATCTGAGTAGTGGTTACCAGCACATGTGTTTAGGTTTGCCCAACTATGCTGTTATCACTTGTGCATCATTAAAGCACAGTTGAGTAACCCCCCCACATTTTTTTCCGTGTGGAGAAGTACAGGTGCATGGCTAGTGGCATTGAAAATTGCCTTCTTGACAATAAACTGCCTTCTCTTTTAATTTTCAGGAATTAGAAGCATATGTAGACGATATAGATATGGACAGTGAATTTAGAAAAGAGGATTTTTATTTCTTGTCTCAAGAAGATAGAGAGAGACAGAAACGTGAACATGAAGAGTCCAAGAGGGTACTCCAGGAATTAAAATCTGTGCTGGGATTTAAAGCGTCAGAGGCAGAAAGGCAGAAGTGGAAGCAGCTTCTCTTTAGTGATCACGGTAAGCACCACCTTCAAAGTAAAGGCGACTTCAAGTGAGGAGATCTTTCATCCTAAACCATAAACCTTGTTCTAGCTGTTGAATTTATAGAGCTCTGCTTTTAGGGATTCCCTCAATAAATAGACCTCCTTTTTTTCTAGACACAAAATCAGCTTGATCCATAAAAGAATATAAAACCACATGTCATCTAATTGGGAATATGAAATCATACTTATTCATCACTTGATTTGTTTGCTTTGCTTCAGAATGAGCCATGAACTGAAAAAGAATATTTTCAGTAAAGTGCTATTTGCTGATTAACAATTTGAGATTCTAAACTCTCTCATTTTTACATTATAATGACATCAATGAAGAACAAACTTAGCTGTAACCCACTGTTGAAGCACATGAATAAGGAACTAAGTCACTTCACTGCATCACTAGTGTTAACGATTGGTGTGAGCACTGCCCATGGGAGAAGAGAGAGGAACCTGTGGGCATATTTTCCCCTGTACTTGGATTTGGACAAAGTTGAAAGACAGGTCTATTAGCCATAAATTTTGCACCCTTCTCCTTGGTAAAATTTTCACAGGAGGTGACAGAGGAAACGAGGACATGATTAATACTTGGGAATATTAGCTAATTCCCAGTGGAGAAATGAATCCCTATGCATTTCTAAGAAGGTGGAATGGAATTTTCCTTCTACCGTAGAGTGACTGTGTGGAACCTTAAAAATCAGTTACCTTCTTTTCACTTGAAGTAGATTATTATTTATACTTCTGGAAAGTTCCTCAAAGTTCTCTTTTCTTCTCAGGAACCCTGTTATTATCCCTTTTCTGGATCAACATTTCTTGATTTTTTTTTTTGCTGGGGGGCCACACCCACAAGGTTCAGGGCTTACTCCTGGCTCTGCACCCAGGAATTACTCCTGGCAGTGCTTGGGAGACCATATGGGATGCTGGAGATCGAACCCAGGTCGGCCGCATGCAAGGCAAGTGCCTTACCCTCTGTACTATCTCTCCACTCCACCCCCACCCCCCCACTCCCAAAAATCAATTTCTTGATTTTTATCCTTGTCCCTTCCTGTTAGTCCCTTTTATTGCCCATGTCCTTTATTAGGCTGCACTCAATTGTCAAAGCCTCTTGGATGATTTCAATTTTCAGTACTTTTCCTTTTAGCCAGTATTTATAAAACAGGTTCTAAGATAGCTCTCTCCAAATTCTTCTCAAACATTGCTTTGGCTCTTACACTTTACAGTGATTCCCCTTTCTTCTTACCGTAATTTATCTAAATTGCTTTCCCTACTTGCCAGCCTCCCCAATATCCGGTTTCATTTTCCACAGTTACTAATGTAGCTGTCTTCCTCTAGTTCTATTTATCTAATTAACTAGACATTGTTGTTTAAAGCTTCTGAGTTTTTGTTTCGTTTTGTTCTGTTTTCTGTTTGTTTAGGGGCCACACTCAGCTGTGCTCAGGGCTCACTCCTGACTCTGGGCTCAGAGAAGACTCCTGATGGGTTTGGGGTGGCCATAAAGGATACCAGGAATTGAACCTGGGTCATCTGCGTGCAAGGCAAGCACCCAGCCCACTACACAATCACTCTGGGCCCCAAAAGCTGCAGTTTAAAAAAAAATTTCTGATCCCTTTACCAAGTGTCCTGTCTCCTTCATTAAGCTATCCTCCTTAATCACTCTCCTGGGTGAATCTTCCTCTGACCACTGCAGTTCTGCACCCCTCCCGCACTGCAGACACAGCCACGGGGTCTCTCTCATGAAAGGAAAGGAAAGGACACTGAGCAGAAACACCTATAGTAGATTAAGAGTTTCCCAGAGGCAGCAGTGAGTACAGCCCACTTGTTCATATAGATGAGGCCTACTTAAATCAGATATTAAAAGTATGATGTTTGGGGCACTATTGTTCTTAGTGTGTTCGAGTTTTTGTCCCTGTGATTGAATTAAAATCTCCTTAAATAAGGGGTTTATTGTCTTCCTACAGTGTTCATTTAGCAAATTATTCATTTACCAAATCGTTATCTGAGGCACTGGGGCTGGAGTGATTATGCAGCAGGTAGGGCATTGGCTTTGCATATGGCCTACCAGATTCCCATATGGTTCATCAAACATCCCATATGGTTCCCCAAACCCTCCAGGAGGGATCCTTGAGTTTAGAGCCAGGAGTAAGCCCTGGGCATTACCAGGCGTGGCCCCAAAACAGCAAAATAATTATAATAATTAGGTACTGTTTACTATTGACTCCCTAGCACATAGATGAAGAGACAAGAATTTCTTAGGCTTAATACTCTTCCAGTTGGTCCACTACATAGATTATATCCCAATAAGCATTCATCAGAAATGTCGTATAACTTCTAATATATGTTTTCTTTAAGAACTAGCAGAATTGGGGCTGGAGCTATAGCACAGTAGGTAGGGCGTTTGCCTTGCATGCAGCTGACCTGATTTCGATTCCCAGCATCCCATATGATCTCCCGAGCATCGCCAGGGGTAATTCCTGAGTGCAGAGCCAGGAGTAACCCCTGTGCATTGCTGGGTGTGACCCAAAAAAGAAACTGTCAACTGTCACTGTCTTCCCGTTGTTCATCGATTTGCTCAAGCGGGCCCAGTAATGTCTCCATTGTGACAATTGTTACTGTGTTTGGCATATCGAATACATCACGGGTAGCTTGCCAGAAAAGGGGGGAAAAAAGAACTAGCAGAATTATAGACTGAAAAATGTACCTGAAAACTGAAAATAGCACTGTATATAAGCTTTTGTCCTTTTTATTCTTTAGTATTTTCTTCAGTTGTCTTTAAATTGCCCCTTGATAGTATAGGCAAAGTTACAGTGATGGGAAAAGTGTGTCTGTTTCCAGTATATGCTTTTCACAGTTTGCATTTGAAAGAACCATAAAGCTGTATGTGGAAATAACTGGGGGAAGGAGGGGGGGGGTGCGGGGGGGGGCAGCCACTGAACCATAAAATGCTTTTTCCCCCCATGAAAAATTTCGGTACATCTTCCCAGAGTTGTTTTCATCTCTGCCTACAGGGGTAAAGTCGGAGTGGAATTAGAGAGGGAAATTCTACACTGGAACCTGCTGTGGCCATATTTTTTTCAGTTGTTACTGCGTCTGTAGTGGAGTGACTGCAGCTTAGGGATCTGTTTCTTGGAAATGGACACATTTTACAAAATTATTTGCCAGCTCTTCAAGGCTCACTCTTTTTTTTCCTGCTGCCAGTCCTGCTTCATACTCTATTGTAATGTACTAACCCCTCCTACTGAGAGGAGAGACTGCCTAGAGCAACCCACTGCCTACTAACATCGTGGGGCTAACTAAACCTCATTTCCCTTTGGAAGGACTCCTTCTTCCTTATGGAACTGTATTATGTCTGTGTTATGCTGTGAACGGTAGTTGATCTTGAATGCAGATTCTGTTTCAACTTTTTCCTGTGGCATTTTGAAATGTATAGCAGTTTTAGCGTTTCACTTTAAGATTGTGTTAGGTGGTTGGCAAATAAGTGGAATTTTTAACCCATGCCTTTTTTTTAATTAACTTGTAAGAATATATGTGACGATAAAGATTATTATGTGGATGACTTTTGGCCTTTTATCTGACACATTGTCAGTGAAACCTTGCTGCTGCTTTTTCTTGAGTTTGAGACTTCAGTGTGCATGAAAATCCAGGAGAGGCCTTGTAAACCGTAACTATTCCCCACTCCCCGTTTCCAATTCAGAGTCTGAATTATCTGTGTGGGACTCAAGAATTTGAGTTTCTTTCTAATTCCTGGATGTTGCTGAGTGATGCTACTGGTTTGTAGATTGCACTTTAAGGACCAGTATGCAGTTATTTTGAAAAGAGTGTATGTGGGATGCTTTTAAGTCTTCATCAAAACATTGTCTCATTTCTTTGGCATTTTTTTTCTCTTATGAAGATCTCTGGATTTATAAATTTAATTTCATTTTACTATAAACGTTTATTTGGCTTTTTCTTTATTCTTTGTAAGAAAAACTGGGAGTTTTAAAGTTTAAATCATCACTGGGTCCTTAGTTATCATTTTTCTTTTCTTTTCTTTTCTTTTTTTTTCCTTTTAAGCTGTGTTGAAATCCTTGTCTCCTGTAGACCCAGTGGAACCCATAAGTAATTCAGAGCCATCAGTGGATTCAGATATGGGGGAAGTTGGTAAACATGATATGGAAGAGGAAAATAGTAAACCCTCCACAAGTGGCAATGAAATAAATAGTAGGACTGAGTATTTATGTGAAAACCCTCTAGATGGTAAAAATAAAGACAATTCTGCAAATAAACTCTTCCTCCAAGAAACTGAAGAAAGCGTGTGTTACCAGTGCGAGAGTGAAGATGAATCACAGCAGACAGATGTAGGTGCACTGGCAACTGCTCATCCAGCACCCAGGGACGCGGTCCAGACCTCCATCAAGCAGAGGCTGGCACGGCTCCAGCTGTCACCGGAGTTCACCTTCACTGCGGGCCTCGCTGCAGAAGTGGCTGCTAGATCTCTCTCCTTTACCACCTTACAGGAACAGACTTTCGGTGATGATGATGATGATGAGGAGGAGGAGGAGAAGGAGGAACAAATAATAGAAGAAACTAAAGATGAGGTAGAAGAAGAGTAAGAACCAAAATTCACACAAAGGATTTTATATTGAAAATTCATTTTATGAAATGTGTTTTAGCTTCATGGCTAGATAGGCCACTGGAAAGGGAAAGTAAGTGCAAAATTTTACTGTATCTAAAAACCAAGATGTGAATTTACATCAGTTTGAACAACTGATCTGAATCATAATCTCCTGTAAATGACAGGTCTGTTAGAAAAAAATCACAGAAAGGTAAGGGCTCTTTTGAATGAACTGCTATTTTATTTGCAGCATAACGGATCGATCTTGGAAATTCTTTGAGTACTTTTAATAAGAAATAAATTTATTATTTCTTGCCAGAATTTGCTACCAGAAAATGACAGGATAATTCTGATGCAAGAAAGTTAACATTTAATAAGACTCCTTTATACTGTATTCTTGCAGTTAATAACTGCAGCTTTTATGTTAGTAACAAGTTGTTTGTATTTTATTTTTGTTTATACCAATCAAAGATACAGGCTCTAAATAAAAAAAACTTGAATTCATACAATTGATGTGTGCTGGGATTTGGAGTTTGGAACTAAAAAATAGTTTCATAAATACTGGGGGGGAGGGGAAGCATTGGAGAGTACTTGGGCTGTAACGCTTCTTTAGGATTGTTGTCATGTGCATGTATTCAGTAGCTTCAAAATGCCCTAGTGATCTTTATATAGAAAAACACTGTATCATCGTAAGAGTCACATATTTGTGTGTTCTTTTTCTTCTACTCTCTTTGTCTTCCTCTCCCTCTGTCCTTCCTTCTCTCCCTCCTTCTTTCCCGCCCCCCTTCCTTCTCTTCTCTCTTCTCACCAAGTTAGAGCCAGGGATTGAACCAAAGACCTCACAAATGCAAGGCATGTGCTCTTCTACCACTGAGCCCATCCTTGGCCCTTTTGTTGTAACTAAGAGATGATGTCAAAATGCGATCTTTGTGGCCCAAGGCTCCATCTCAAACTTTGCAGAAAGTTATTTTCTGTTTGCCCAGGGATAATTGGGTACCATTAGCAATGCTGCTGCTGCTGCTACTGCTACTGATTTCTAGCTGAGCCTGCCTGTGCCACCTTGATGAAATTCAGGAAAGAGACAGTCAGCTTCCTGAAGACATCCTACGTCCTCAGTACCTAACTTACAAACCGCCTCTTAGAAAGGCTGCTTTCCAAATAGCCCATCCTCATCTGTTTGCATGTCATTGCATTTTTCAAAGAATGTTATTTTCAGGAGTACATGAACATTATCTGGAGAAACTCTAGGAATAGCTTTGTTTATGCTACTATCTTAGAAAGGAAATTACAGTCTTAGATTTTAGAGACACACACTTGAATTTCTATAATTCTGAGTAAATTTACATCTACTGAAAAGGATTTTATTTTGGTGTTCCAAGGACATTTGATTTTACTTCTTTTTTTTTTTCTTTTTGGGTCACACCCGGCGATGCACATGAGTTACACCTGGTTCATGCACTCAGGAATTACTCTTGGCGGTGCTCAGGGGACCATCTGGAATGCTGGAAGTCGAACCTAGGTCGGCTGCATGCAAGGCAAATGCCTTACCTGCTGTGCTATTGCTCCAGCCCCTTGATTTTACTTCTTGAGGAAAAATTTGGTTCTGGCTTATCTGACTAGTACTGGTCCTTTGTATCATAAGTAATTCTAATGCCTGTTATCAAAACTGGGACATAGCTCATAGTTAAATACTGAGAAACTATATTTTAGGGGGTCAGAGTGATAGTATAGTAAGTAGGATGCTTGACAGTCTTATAACTGGCTAATACATCTTTTTTTTAAATTTTTATTAGTAAAACACCATGAGGTACAGTAGTAGACTTACAAATTTTTGTGCTTGGGTTTCGATTATACAATGATCAAACACCCATCCCTCCACCAGTGCCCCTTTTCCACCACCATGGATCCCAGTATCCCTCCCACCTCTATCCCCCCCATCCCACCCTGCCTCTGTGGCAGGGCATTCCCTTCTGTTCTCTCTCTCCTTTTGGGTGTTGTGGTCTGCAAAAGAGGTATTGAGTGGCAATCATGTTCGGTCCATAGTCTACTTTCAACATGCATCTCCCATCCTGGGAGGATCCTCCAAACACCCTTTATTTGATGCTCCCTTCTCTATCTGAGCTGCCCTTTTGCCTTGGCTAGTACATCTTCATAAGACTTACAGTATAATTTCTTTTTAAATTACTTAATTTGAAAACTCCTTTTTTTTTCCTTTTGGATTTGGGAAAAAACACATTTATAAAACCATGGTAATTTTTCTCATAATCATAAGAAGAATTGTTTTAATAAATTTTAATTATTTGTTTCTTTATATAACTTTGGAGGAGGTATCTATAATATTACATCATTTGTATTCAGTGCTGTTGTGATCATTTTAATTGTGAAAGAATCTTTTCTAATTATAATATGGATAACATGGTTACAATACTGTTAATGTTTATGGGTTTGTTTGTTTATTTCTCTTATTTAGAAAGATGTGAGGGGAGAGAAAGGGAGAAGTACATGTAGGAGAGAGAACAGACTTTTTCAGAGTGGAAATAAGCAAGTTGAAGGGAGAGCAGGGGCTTGAAGAGCAAGCCCGTTTATGGTTTTAATGTACAAAGTTACCTCACTTTTACAAAGTTGTATTACCCAACGTAATAAATCAAGTCATTATTAAACTAAATATACTTAGAGCACTTTAGTAACTGATGAATTGACTTAAGTTTGACTTCTGAAGCTACTGGAGGAAAGGAAGTTAGGAGAAGCATTAAATGTAAATCATTAAGGGCATTTAGAAATAAAGGTTGACAGCATACCAAGGTACAGACCTGAGTTTAAATCCTAGCTACATCATTTAAAAGTTATGCATACATTTGACCTAATAGTGTCATAAGAGAGTTTTTTCCAGTAAAGTTCACATTCTCTGAATTGCTAAATAATGTTTGCAGTTTCTGGATTCTCAGAAGTAATTAAAAAGGAAATAAAACTTGAGCAGAAAAACAAGACCTGATTATAAGCACGTAAGTAAAATAGGTCAAAACCTTGAAAACTCAGATTTCTTAAAAAGAATATATTGAGTTGCTGACCCTGATTTGATTCCCAGCACTGCACCCCTGGGCTCAGAGCCAGGAGTAAACCCTAAGTACCACCAGGTGTGGCCCCAAAAGACGAAGTCATAAGAATAGTAATAATGCTGGGCTTAAGGCTGTGCATTGCCAGGTACAGCTCTTGAGGTCCTGAGTGGGGTGGGGGTTGGGGGGGGCCTGCCATCCCTGCAGGACCTTTTTTTTCTTTGGGGGAATCACACTCAGTGATGCACAGGGGTTACTCCTGGCTTTGCACTCAGGAATTACTCCTGGTGGTGCTCAGGGGACCATATGGGATGCTGGGAATCGAACCTGGGTCACCCGAGTGCAAGGCAAACGTCCTACCCGCTGTGCTATCACTCCAGCCCTGCCCTGTAGAGCCTGAGGAGCACCAGATCCTCATCCTGCACACTGAACCACCCAACTAGAGCTTTGCAGGGAGGGGCCTCCAGGCCTACCAAAGTAACCCTCCCACCCCATTTTTTTTTTTGTTCACATAATAAAGGTTTTAAAAGTTAAGCATAAAAGAAACTGAGTCCTGATACATTCTACAAAACTGTAGCTGAATCATAAGGGGGAGAATCAGAATAATCATTGAGGTCATTCATTCCGGTGACTAACTCTGTACTAACACATCAAAATTGTTTTTGGGTAAATTACTAGAAATCTTGAGAAAACAGAAGTTCAGCTACTTTGGTTCAATCGTGATATATTTCCTCGTATATCCAAATGAAGCAAGAACTAAATAAATAGCGTAAACTGTAAAACAGGAGTTGGGGAGAGCACTCACAGCTGGGGTGCTCACTTTGCATATGGAAACTCCAGGTCTGACCCCTGACATCATTGTAGAGCACCCCTGGGAGTGACACCAAAGCACTGAGCCAACCAGGTATGGCTCAACCTCCCCCCAATTGAAGCAATCAGTTTAGCTCATCAATATCATGTGATGAAAGACAACCAAGATAATTGATTTATTTTTCTAATCCTAAAGAATAAATATTTGGCTGGGGCAATAGTATAAATAGTAGAGCGTTTGCCTTAGCTCATGGTCCACCAGGTTAGATCCCCAGCAACCCATATGATTCCCTAAGCTGCACCAGAAGTGATCCCTGAGCACAGAGGGAGGAGTAAACCCTGAGCAATGCTGGATATGTACATCCCACAAGCAAAAGAACATTTGTGTCCTGCACACTTACATCAAAAGATGAAGCTACAAATAGTTTAGATGTAGAAATTTGAGGGAAATGTCCTAAGTGCCATAATAATGCATTAGTCTATCATCATTGACAAATTATTTCTGTAAGTTAAATTTTCAGGAAACAGAGGCAAATTCATTCAGCCATTAAAAATATTAATGATATGATAGGAAATTTTTTTAAATTGATTTTTATGGATAACACCATGATTTATAAAGTTGTTCTTTAGACAGTTGTTTCAAGCATTTGGTGTTCCAACATCACTAGTGTGACCTTCCCTCCACTAATATGCCCACTCTCCCTCTCAGATCCAACTTGCCCACTTTGGTGTATAACAAATTTACTTTATATTGCTTATTCCGACAGAACTTTAAGAACTGGCAAGTAGGGCTGGAGCTATGATAGCACAGCGGGTAGGGCATTTGCCTAGCACGCAGCCAACCCAGGTTCGATTCTCAGCATCCCATATAGTCCCCTGAGCACTGCCAGGAGTAATTCCTGAGTGCATGAACCAGGTGTAACTCATGTGTATCGCCGGGTGTGATCCAAAATGCAAAATAAAAAAAAAACTGGCAAGTAGAATGATCAGAAAATAAATCAGTCGGGGCCAGTTAGTGAGTACTGTATGAACTTTGACCTATGCAAAAAGAAAGTTAAAAATCATTTAATACAATATAAAAATTTGATAGGGAATTTTCTAAAATATACTTTGTGCTCTGTTTTTTTCCCCCAGAGTATTTAGGATATAACGAATATTTTGTTATTTTGACATCATTTTCTATCATGGGGTGATAAACAAAAATTCACTCTCAGGCTGTGAGATGGTCAGAATGCCATATTCCCCTTGACTCTGCCTTGCTCTGCTTTGTGAGTTTTCTCTGTTTCTCACGGTTTCTCTGTTTTCCCTTATAATCAGCTGTCATTTTTTGCTGCTGCTTTGTGTGCCTGCCTCCTGCACTAGGCCCCTAATTTGCTGCTTCTAATCTGCTGTGGACTGAGACCAGATTGCCACGCTTGCTAAAATTATGTATAAAATAAGAGTAAGTAGAATGGAAGAAGGCCAGGGGCGTCTCTGGGTTAAAGTGCATGACTTTGTAGTACCTGTGTGGCTGCCCCCGCACCCTTCCGCTTGCCTCGAGTTCTTTACCAAGAACTTGGTAAAAATACTTTGTTGAATACATAATTCTCACATATTGGGGATATCAATTCAGTTTTTCTATATTTAGATATTTCTAGGATTCGGTGAATTCAGCTATGAAAGAAAATTTTGACAA